TTTTACAATTAAATTTGCAAAAATGTTCTATCCAGCAGTAATTTACAAATAAAAATCGGTAGACGGTGACGGTGGAGATAATCGGCGGACGGAACGGGAGTGTTTCGGGCACCACCTCGGTTTCCCTTGCTTCTGGACAAGATGCGATCGCCGATGGTAAGCTCTTGGTCTGGTAACTCGAATGGAGCACGGCAAGCGGGGGCTACTGGTGAATGCTAAAACAAATTTACAGCGTACAGCAATTTCTTTAAGTGGGAACAGTCAATATTCGGATTCGGTAGCGGTTTCTACGGGAAAGCAATTGCGAGAAGCCGAGACAATATCCCACCCTCCTCCCGCTATAATTAATGAAACGGAAAGTAACAAAAAGCTTACTTTGTAATGAAACGGAGCGGTAGGAATCAGTTTCGGTTATCTCCCAAATTCAGAAAGATCTCTAAATTCTGCGTTCACCTTATATAAGCCATAGGGAGAGGTGGGGGTGGTTTTTCCAACCGACACAGCATATTCGGTTATTTACATTTAACAATTACAACTTCCCAGACGTCTCAAAAATACGGGACTGGTATCAAAATTCAAGTTTTTTAAGGGTTTTAAGGGAATTAAATCCGAGGCTGTTACTGTAATCCATTCAACTAATTACGCTTAATTATATTTATCCAAAGAGTCGGAATGAAATCTCGAAATTCGGCAGTCCAGTAATGCCAGTTTTCCCTTTGAATTTTGGGTCAAACGGCGGGGTCTCTAAAACTTGACCTATAACTTAATAACATTGATTCTTCTTCCTTCTTCCGTGGTAATAAACCTTGCGCCGGCTGTAATAACAATTTACATATTCCTACGGTTGCAAACGGCGGATTAACTGCAGCGCTATTTGCTGTAGCAGCGGCTTAAGCACCCAACTTAAAACACCTCTCAATACCGAGTGTTCATTGATCGTCGTTTGAAATTTTCAACATAAAAGTCCTTTCTATAGGTGATGTTTTCAAGAAAAAGCCACTTCTCAAAAATTCAAAAAAATTCCCGATGCGATTGACCGACGCGGCGGGCAAATTTTCATTTTTCGAATTTTGTATACCTTAAAAAAAATAGTAATTTTGCTAATATTCAAGAGATTCGAACGGTTGGCACAGCGATTGAAAGAGAAAGCATGGGGCTATCGTATGCTACCTTGAGCGCCTAAAAAGTGAAAATAAAAAAAATTTACCGAAAGGAACGGAAAATCGGCACTTTTTAATTTCGCCCATAGGAAAAAAAAACAAAATTCCGCAGAAGATGTGCGTGTTTGCAAGATCTTTCTGACGACACCAATTTGAAAACTATCGGTGAAAAATCACCACGTTCGTATAACATGCTTGGGGATGGCGCCCAGATGTCGCCAACCTCACATCGTGTAGTCCCGTTCCTAAAGTTATTAATTACACGGCCCCGGTAGATACATGTACACTCCATGTCTTTTTACAAGCGTTTTAATGCGGGCTCGCAGGTGCTGCCAGCCATCCAGCCGGTCAAAGTGTGATTAAAAGTAAATTTGCAAAAATGCGCTAAAAATGGCTAGGGCACGTTCATTGCTATTTTTAATCGCGCATTTTTTCAACGAGTTCTTGTTGTACAGGGTGCGTCAAGTGTCATGTAACAGTAGTCTGTATTAATTTTCTTTTTTTAAATTGAACATGTAACTTTTGCATTTGCTAAAACCTTCTAAACATATAAAAATATCTTATGACTTGCGAAATATGTGTTCTCAAATGCAGAAATTAACGGCAAAAAAAGAAAATGGTACAACACACTGAACAACAAAATAAGTAATAAGTAGGTACTACCTATATATTTCTTGATAAATGTATAAACAAAAAAATTAATATTGAACAGATGTACAAAATGCTTATCGCGAGCATCTTGACATCTTAATCTCAAATATAAATTTCTTCTAAGGTTTCTTAACATATCAGGCGTAACGAATCCAATCGTTCGTGTTAGTCGTCTTAAAGTCAGCTAAATCGAAGGGTTTAGTTTTGTATGCGGACATGTTCCCATGAAAAGAATTCTAATGACTCCATATTTGGCGATCCTGCTGGCTATTTCATCGTTCTTCGCCTCGCTGTCTACCGATTTAGATATATGTATGTGATGGCGCTCCATCTTGTTGTAACGTATTACAATTGACGATAATTTGCTAAATCATATTGTACAGGATATAAAAGCCGACGGTGGTAAATATTTTAAACACATTCTGGACGACACTATTTATTTTCAGTTTTGGCCCTTAGCGTTACCCCGCTGTATGGCTACCGGATAGCGCTTCGATTTCGGCGACACCTCACTTTGATACACAGAACCACAGTTTCGGTTTCGCCGCCTCGCGTGCCTTAACGATAATACCAAACTCTTGAAAACAAAGTGTTGGAAGAGGGTACTCATAAAGGGCAAGACTCGACGACGTTATGTTATAATAGCCATGTAATGAGTGTTTTAATATTATTGCATGTGTACCTATTTGGTTACACGTGGTGGTTCCCCCAACTACCAATAGAATAATTTAAAGTTGAGGGTACGATTTAAAGGTAAAAGGAAACCATCCTGTAGGGTGTTGTTGAGCACTTTGAAAGCATGCGGAAGAGTTATTTATTCCTCATTTGTAATTATACACTTTGCTGATTGGACAGTTTTAGTTAATTTAGGTCTCTCTGTTGGCGTTCATATATGCATGCAATCGGTACGTTTCCGCCCCTTCAGCAATTACAACTGCAGTTAGAGCAGGAAATTAACAAATTTTGCCCCGAGATTAATTACCCAGCTAATACATCAATAACCCTAATTCGTATTCCGTTTTCAGGCACGTTCAAAACGAAATTTTTCCCTTTGGGAACTATTTGACGAAAAGGCTACGCCCGAAGAGTACTTAATAGGGGCTGGGCTAATAATTAAATTAAAGAAATTTAATAGAATTATTTAGGTGCGGATCGGAGTGAAATATACCGGGTGTCAAACGCGTCAATTATTACGCCTCCGTATACTTCGTAGCTTAAATGATCTATGCTCATCGGAAATAATTGTTTTAAATTGATGGAGGAAGATTTTTTTTAATGGGCGGTCATTGTACTTTTACGTTTGTGATAATACTTATACAATTACACCTTTCTGAGGCCACTTTTTCATCGTTAACTTAATCGGGGATCGAAATTAATGCTTACGTATTAAAAACTTGTTTGGCAATTAGTGCGGGTTTTTCCTGTGCGTCCCAAAATCCACAAGATCAATAGTTTAAAATTACAACATTGTCATCTGATTAAATGGCGTATCACTTTTATAAAAATTCATCGATTCTACAATTTTAAATTATTTTCAAATAGGGGTAGTTTTCACCGTAAAAAAATATAAACCAACATCCGACAGGGTCAGTACCTGAATCCAAATTGATGTGCAAATCGGTGGTGTTTAGCAAAATTTAGTAGATTTTTCTCCACGACTTCGTATGACCATCTACGGGCTATGATGGTATGACGGATATATGATTAGGAAACCTACCGTACAAAATATAAAAATCGGAACACATCGGCACGGTACGATGCAAGTGACTTATCGATCGGTACGCAAATTAGCAGAGTGCGACATCAATGAAAAAAAAATTTAAAAAATCCTATGATCCGATCGGGTCCAATTGTGAATATAAACCATCCGGGGATACCGAGGGGGATACACAAAGACACAACAAAATTACGGTTCATGGTCATGTGCTTCATTGCACGGGAATTTGCAATCCAAACATTGGGAGAAGTCACAGCTTTTGGATATCCGACTGGCTAACAAACTAACTCTTCTCAGACTTGGACTTCTTAGAATTCTTACAGTCTCGCTTATAATGGCGTAACTCGCCACATTTGTAACATTTTGGGAGAAACTTCTTTGACTTGTCGCCACTCCCACCGCCCTTACCGTAACCATTCACTCCCCGGTCCCACGAATATTCCAAGAATAAAATGTGTTAGGAAGACACTTTCTAAGAGCCAAGAAAATTCCCGGACAGAGGAAAAGAAGTAAAATTTCGAGGAGGTCTTCAAGGAAGATTTTTTAAAATATTCACGTGATTTCTTTTGACTTTTTTTGAGTGGACTTCGAGGAATGCTCCAAGAAAATTTCCAGAAGAACATTTCTTGAAGTTAAGAAGGTCTTAAATTAAAACCAAAACCAATTTTGTGGCTTTTTTAGAAAATTCCTAATAACGTTTTCAAGATGTGGTTCTCCTATGAAGATGTTTACTAATATTTCAAGAGAATGTCTAGAAGATTGCGAAGCCAGACTTTTGAATACGATTCCAAAGGAGAAACGATTCCCGAATATTTTTCAAAAAACAATACAATTGAAATCGGGAGGCTGTGACCCTGCATCATTGATTTGTGAGTCAATTTCAGACAAGTTTTTTTATCGATTTCGCACACTTGATAGATGTTACAGTGTTTTAGCGTATGTCTGAAATTGATTCACAAGACTTCAAGTATATAATTTGTAAGAATATTTGCAAGGAAAATAAGATTAATCGACCGTCTTGTTAACGAATGATCTGTTCCACATCATTTATTTCTCTTTCAGCACTTTAAGAGAAGTGTTGGTACATGCTTTGGGAAATGTCACTCTTATCAATAACGTTCTTAATAAACTGTTGATATACAGTACGTTGACAAATGTGTGTCGCGTAGGTAGTTGACGTAGAATATGTGAGGGAGCGCTTCTCCAACGTGTAGTAATGACCACAATGTACACTTTACATATTTGCGTGTCGTAAAAAAACGGTATACAATAACAATTACTTATATAGGTAACACGATTACCACCTGCAATGCAGTTAATCAACAACGGGCAGTGACTGAAAAAGGTCGTCGAACTTCACGGCCGATGAGCTTCTGCTTTGACTTCTTCTTAACACCTCACTGCCTTATGCTCTTCTAACGTTACAGATTTCAAACATTGTACTCATCTGCTCTTTTCTCTTTTTGTTACAGACGATATCGAATCCGTAAGCGAGCGTTTAGTTCAGCTAGCGAAGCAGCAAGGTTCCTGTGATAACATCTCTGTTATCGTAGTTTTTCTTCGCGAACCGTCCAAAGTGGCCGCGGAGGCCCACTGGGCGACCCGCCACAGCCTAATCATGGATACCTTAGACAACGCGAACGCCACAAATCCCTTCGCCAACTCGAACAACCCCGACATCCTAGGCCAGAAGGAGGGTTTCGTCCTAAATTTGGCCGACGGATGTAAACAGAACGGAACGGAGAATGTGGCCGACTTCTTGGAGAGGTCGGCGAACGGCAAACGTTCCGCCGACGAATTCGACGACGACGAGGATCTGGGACCCGAAACCGACGTCGACTGCATCGACGAGCTGTCCTTCTCGCCGACGCCCCTGCAGTCGAAAGGGTTGGTTGACGAAATTGTAAATAACAACCCCTTCCAAACGGACTGCGACAACAAGGAGGAAAAGGCAACTCTCGAGATGGACTCGCAAAAGTATTGCGAATTGCGCGAAGAGACGCCTACGCCACCCGCCGACTCAGGTAAGTCCGCTGGATCAGCGAGGCGCTGTCGTCCCCCCAACCCCTGTTTCAGTGCGAATTGACGCCGGGATAATGATTAGACGCTTAACCAATTCGGAAACTACGGCGATTACGAACCAGTTGCACCTAATGAAAAAACTGCGGAATTTTAAAACTGTTAACGATAATCTTCGCGCGATCAAAGTACTTTTTGACGTACTCGAAGTGCTGCGTACCATTTCCGATCAATCCAAGAAAAGTGCCCTTAAACCTTTAGACCTATCTGTTTTAACTAATAAAACCTCGCAATAAACATTGTATCAGTGTACTTATTCGTTAGGTCAGTTCCAAAAGTGGGGGGAGACTCGATTCTTTGCAAGATAGATGTGGTGCAAAATTGAAGAACGAAAGAAATTGTATTTTGTAAAATTTTTTATTTTATTAACGTGGGTTCGAGGATTGGGAACTGGGGGGGTGTTTTGTTTCGTAAGTTTCTCATATTGGAAATGTCGAAGGTCAATTTTTTTGAACAAGGTTGGCGAAGGGGGGGGCAATATAATTTTAGGGTTGTCTCTTTAATATGGAAATGGCTCCGAAATCGCAGAGCTTAATTTGAGGTCAGTATTTTAATAACAAGTGCCCTCCTCTCACGCTTTGATATTTATTACGGCCCGTCGACACGAACTTTTTGTAACCCTACGCGTATCCTTATATTCCTAGCACACCCTTGTGGCCCCCTTTTTACCAATGTTACAAGCACACCTTTAAAATGGCGGCTAATCGGTTTCAGTGACCATGTTTATTCGTTACAACCAATCATTTTCATATCCCTTGACCAATCCTGTTTAGAAAAGCAATTATCTGTTCATCGCATCCAACTCATCAGGACTTAACACGTATAACCCATTAATTTCGTCTAATTTTCCGCCAGACTGGCGCGACCTACTTTCTCACGTAATTAATTAGTCAGTGCACTGTCTGGACCATCGACCTAAAAAAACAAATTTTCGAGAAACTTGCCCTATAATGAAACCACCTTATATTCGGTACCAAAGGGGCGCAAAACATCAAAATGAACAGCATCGGCTACCATTAATTTAACACGAAAAAGTACGGTTATCACAAAAAAAACTAGGTACTCAAAACTCGTAGGTAGAACAGTGACAGATGCCGTCGTCAGCCGCGTCGCGTCGCTGCCGAAACGCATCGCGACGCGTCGCCAAGTGAAAATCAGCCTGTGGTTCTATGCAGTCTTTTTCTAAAAGGCAATACAACCTATTTGCGGATGAAGGTGCCAATTTTAAAACTTACGTTCTCAAACGGGTTTTCGTAAATAACGCAATTGCATTTTGTGCTGACAGAAACTTGTAAAGTTGGCATTATTTAAATTAATTCCTTTCGTTGAGACCTTTCATTCAGAAAGAAGGGCAGTAGTTGGTAGAAAACGGTTCCTTTCGTTGACATCTTTAATTAGAATACAATGAGAGATATTAATTTTTAACCCCCCCCCCCCTCCTGGCCCCGTCTCGAAAAGAGTCGCACGGGAAAGTTATAGTTTGTACAAACCATTTTATTTCGATGATACCTTTCATTAGAATACCATGAAGGGTAGAACATGTGTTTATCCCCCCCCCTGTCCCCCCTAAAGTTTAACTTGGCACCATTAAAGGTATGCGTATGCAAAATCAGAGGCCAATTGGTTGTCGTATGTAAAAATTATGCACTTTTACTTTCAAAAACAGCATCTCGGAAAATAATTCGAGGGGGGGGGGCCCTTTTAGGCAGCGAAATTTGATGGCCGTCTGACGCACTTTCAAGGTATAGGCTACCTACTGCAAAAAATTCCAAGACTCTAGGACCATTCCTTTAGAAGTAGTTCGAAACGGCAGAAGTGGGTCCGGACGGACGGACGGACAAAACGCAAACAATAGCGCATTTTTTTTAATTCTTAAAAATATTCAATAGCACTGATCCTTGAACTCGTAGAAATCGATTGGCGAAGGTTTGACATCGCAGTTTCGTCCTCCAATTAGATGAGGAACAGATGGACGTACAAAAATTTCTATAAAACGCTACAATGAGAATGACTCTGGTTACACCCGTTTGTTCAATCCTTTGGAGGGACCTCTCACTGTGGAAAAAAGTAGGTACACTTACTGCCAAAATCCCAATTTTTTTACGACTTCCAAGGAATTCTAATTTCTAAGGACATCAATTTGTGTACAGGGTAGCCCAAAAAAAAATCGTATTGATATGTTCAATCGCAATTTTTTCTACAACTATTTTGTGTGGGTATAGCTACAGGGTGGTTTAAATTTGTGGCTCATCATTGGGATATCTATAATGGTGAGAGATACAGTGTAGGTTAAATGGGGCCCCTTTTTATGACTAAAAAAACGCATTTGAAATTTTTGAAAATAACTGAGATATGATCAACAATCTGAAAATGGCAAATTTCGTTTTCATTTTCCCTAGCTGAAACGGTCGCAAATAGACTGTCCCCGTTAGTTTGAATTTTCGGAGAATCTGATTCTGTTATCAGAATTTCCATAGCACGCTAGATGTAGAGACTACAGGCGACTACTTTCTTGTTTCTCATGGGCGCCATATTGGATTTTTACAGAATTAGATGTGTAATGACGTGTCACAGTCTATAATTTTACATAAATCTACAAGAAAAATTTCAAAATGAAGTGTTTTACATCCATTTACAGATAACTAGATTAGATATTAAAATTTTTCTTGATTTCAAAACTTCGGTCCCATTTAACCTACACTCTATCTCCCACTTTTACGAAGATCCCAATAGTGAACCACCCTGTACATGAAATCTACTTGGCATTTTATGTAAAATTTTAAAATGAAATTAATAAGATGTTTTCATTTAAAAAAAGTTAATGGTCATAACATATTTTTGGGCTACCCTGTATAGATGAATTTACCATTAAAAAAACGTAAAGCATCGACGGGTCCGAGCGTTTTTTCGATGGACGTCAATTATTATTGTATTTTTACATTACGTCTGAGCCGTATACCGGGTGGTGCCTAATTTAATTTAATTTCTTTATAGTCAATTACTTAGCTCCCCTAATTATTTTAGAGCAAAAGTCTAAATACGTTTTTTTTTAGAGAAAAAAAGACTGCATCTATTCATACTATTAGTTATAATTTTCCATTTTTCAAAACCGTAGCAATCGACAAAGTAAAAAGGTTCATTTTACAATAAATGAGATATGCCTGGGAATTACCTAAAAAAACAGAGAGAATTAACAACAACCTTTTAATTTTTATTGTCCGTTTGTCCGTCTGTACCACTACTAGTCCTCCAGTTTAAGCTTTTTCAATGTGGTTTTTTTTCTTATACGGTGTAGTAGAAAGCCAAGACCAGAACGACAAATATTTTTTGGATTAAGTAGTCACTTTCTTCTCGAGTTATGTGCTTTCGTCCAGAATTCTTCGATGTGCTAATGAATTCCGTGATTATTTAGTACTTCCAAGGACTGCCAATGATTTCTGACGATTTCCGCCGACTTCTCGTGACTGCCATCGACTTCCAACAAAAGGAACATGCACTTCCAATAGTCAAAATCCTTATTTTTGTGACTCCTAAAAAACATCTTAAGGGCATGTGGATTACAGGTGCGTACTTCTATTGAATATCACATTCTGTAAAAGTGTAACTGAATTCCATTGACTATCAACGAGTGATTTGCAACGATTTCCCCTGAACGTTGCGTAGTTTTTCTACAAGAGTAAGCAAAATCTAAACTCTAGTCTTGGTACGGAAAAAGGAAATCTTGGGAACTATTGGCAAATTAGAACTTAACGTGTTTTTGATACATATAATCTAATCACCTTACGTTTACCCATGACAATAACCTCTTAGTCGCGATAAGAACCTCCAGTCAACTCTATAAATCTGATTAAATTTGCGAAAATGTCTGTTTTGAAACATTTAATTCTTTCAGGAGAGCCCCCCGTATCTTTTCACCTTGACCGGATATGTCGTTTCAATTCGTCTCTTCTAACGTGGAAATTGGTCATGGCAAATTGATAATACTTCTTGTTCAATAGTGTTTCACAGTTGGTTTTGTATGAATTCTTCTGACCTCCCACATAGCGATCCGATCCCAGATATTGCCTTTTTTTACCTCTTTCATTTCAACTCGATCGTGATTTCGCAATTAAAACTGGGTATCTCGCTATCCATTTGAAAGTATTTGGCCGCAACAAATTTCATTGTTTCGTCTAGTTCGTGTTAACATCGCTCGCTTAGAGACAATTTATTTTTAAAGAAATGTTGATGAACTCTACTGCATTTGAAAGTCCTTAAAATAACCGCGTTGATACGTTTTTTTTTCGTACTTTTTGTAAGGAACAGATGCCAGACTCTCGATTAATGTTTTCGCACATTTTTCAGAGCAGTCAAAATTTATTAAATATTCACGGTTTTCTCACATAAATAGTCGGGGCGCGCATGTGATGCTAATGAGGCAAGCGTATGTGAATGATGGGTCAATCACTTTAGATTAGCTTCACAATGGCATCAACGGGTTTGGATTGAAGATGTTGATCGGATTTTTCAATGTTCTTGATTGATCGAAAAAAGTGGATTAAAATGCAAAATCCAACTTCTTCTTGGGACTAGTCCCAAAATACCTACTCTCGGCCGAAAACAATTAATTCATCTTCTTAACACGCGGTAAGCGGACGGAAATGCATTCTTTCACGATTAAAAATACGTGCCATTGCCACGTAACTGTACAATAAAGAATGTAATCGCCTTTCTATGTCATAAAGGTAACCAAATCCATTTTTTGTCTCCCATTATCTAAACACGAAAATTGTTTCGTAATTATCAAACGCGGAAAGCGTATAATTTTGAAGAATTTTCTTGTCAGACCCTCATAATTGCTCATCGTTTCCCCAATTAGGGAAAAGTGCTGAGATGGGGACAATTTTCGCTGTATGGGAAGTGGGCGCGGCCCAGTGAAAATCGGTCCAAAACCTTGTCAAGAATTCATCGGAGTTAACGAGGCGTTGCAAAGATGACTTCATTGAAATTGTGAAGTAAAAGATTTTCTTTGTTTGGCATTGGCAAATTGTTTATGTCGTTAAAAGACCACCTAGTTTATTTATGGTCTATGCCCATTAGGATCGTGATATTGATGGTAGATTTGGCGATGAAAGGATGAAAGGGGCAGAAGGTCGCCCGTTTTGGTTATCATAATATTGCAAAGGAGCTCTTTGCAGAACCTGTCATGACATTTCTGTGAGATCTGAAGATCAACCACGTAGCGCTTTGGATCCATTTTTGAACGGCATCCAAATGTCAAAAAAACCTGTCCAAGAATTATTGGCTATGCCCTATAGTCGACTGACCAAATTGTTAAATTGGAGTGGAGTGGTGGAAAAAAAATCGGGCGATAGAGGACCAGAACAAAATTTTTTGAAACATTGGAAATGTTTAAGTTTTCTTATATGGGTACGTATGGGTAAAGTTGTCGATACGGTACTTAATAGTTCTCATTTGTTTTGTTAATTCCAATCTAACATTCTCGCAATGTTCTCATGTGCATATTGAAAAACTTTCTGACCATTTTGTTCTGAAACACACACCGGACATTTCTTGAAAGTTCTAATCACGTATGATGATGGTCCAGTCACGAATTATGGCAGTAGGATTTTTTTTTAATTTTCAGAAACTAATTGCAAAGCTGGCATTTTTATGTTAAAAGACTACCAAATATCGATGAACTATAAATTTTTCTGTTCCCTCTTTAGGGGGTAGGAATTTTGAAAAAAAAATGCAAAATAATGGAATAGTCAGTATCCTATCCAAAGACATGTCATCATTCTTGATGCATATTATTGTTCTTGAGAATAATAAAAATAACAAAGAAATGCAATTTTGAAAGAGACGCTTCCCAACGAATAGAGCAGTTTTTTTGAATGTCAAATTTCGTTTTCATTTGCCCTAGCTTAAACCTTCGGAAATAGACTGTTCCTGTTAGCACTTTGACTTTTCGGAGAATCTGATTCTGTTATCAGAATTTCCATAGCACGCTAGATGTAGAGGCTACAGGCGACTACTTTCTTGTTTCTTATGGGCGCCATATTGGATTTTTACAGAATGAGATGTGTAATGACGTGTCACACTCAATAATTTTATATAAATCTACAAGAAAAATTTCATAATGAAATGTTTTCCATCCATTCACAAATAACTAGATTAGATGTTGATATTTTTCTTGATATCAAAACTTTGCCCCCATTTCACCTACACTGTATCTCCCACTTTTACGAAGAACCAAATAGTGAACCACCCTGTACATGAAACCTACTTGACATTTTATGTAAAATTTTGAAATGAAATTAAAAATAGATGCTTTCATTAAAAAAAAAGTTAATGGTCATAACATTTTTTTGGGCTACCCTGTATAGATGAATTTTTTTCGTAGAATCTGAATCTGATATTAGTATTTTCATAACACGCTAGATGTAGAAGCTACAGGCCATCTCTTATTTATTTCTTATGGCCGCCATATTGGATTTTTACGAAATGAGATAGAGGACAAAAATAATCACGCGTCATACTTTTACTGGAATTTCAAAATCAAATGTTTTACATCTAAACAACCTCTAGTCATCTGATCTTGCTGAATCAACATGGCTATGAATTCTTTTTTGTACTCTTTCTCATTCCGTAAAAATCCAATATGGCGCCCATAAGAAATAAAGTAGTAGCATGCAGCTTCTACATCTAACGTGTCATGGAAGTTCTGATAGTAGATTCAGATTCTCCAAAAAAAAGTGCCCATAGAAGGTGCTAACGGGAACCGTCCATTTCCCCCCAACTTGAAAATTCTACGCTAAAAGACAAAGCTATAGGTTTGGACTTTTACACGCAGAAAATCAGTAGCGCAGAAATCATTTTTATATCCACTACTGTTTTTCAGAAATAGCACAGTGTTAATCCCATCGTTGTTCAATAAATTCGCTTTTCGCTCTTTTTAATGTTACAAGGGTTGATATCTTTGTTTTTAAAATTATGGACAAATTTGACCCAAAAAGGAATTTTGCTTATAATAAATCAGGTATGGCATGAAAACAAATGAACATGAAATAAAGAAAATTTAAAAAACGTCAACAGAACACAGAATCTGAACCAATAATAAAATTTTCGTTGAAAAATGTTGGGATCTTATGAATAGATCCAATATTGAGAAAATCTGAACACTGTTCTGTTGACGAGAAATGTTCTTTTAAGTTTTTTATTTGTGCTTATATTCACTCACTGAAAAGATAAAAAGATTTTTCTCGTTCGTGGCCGTAGACGTAGGGCGTGTCTTGGTTTACGCACGCACAGCGGGTGACAAGTCCGTGACTGACGTACAAGCCAAGAAAGTAACCATAAAAAAGTGTTTTGAAAACAGTGGGTCCATATGTAGAGTATTTCGACTCCACTGAATTTTACGTAAAAAAGTACATCTGCCATTTTTGTATTTTTTAAAATATCGAAGGCCGTAACCTTGGAGTAAAAAATAAAGTCTTAAGGCGCGTATACATCTGAGCATTGGGTCGAATGAGCAAGGCGAGCGCGAATGAGCATTTGGAAAGGGGGCTGAGTACACATCTGAATGGGACACGCGAGCGAGACACATGAGCTTCGCTCAATGAATGCTCGTAGTGCGCGTTTCAATATGGTATGTCCTTTCCGTTCCCTGTCGATGTCCACACTGAGCACGTATGAGCGTGTTCGCCGCAATCGCTCGCTTTGATCTACCGACAAAATTTGGATCGGGTCGAGCGTGCTCGGCGCACGTTGCTCAGTCGTCCACATTTGAATGCTCATTCGCGCTCGCCTTGCTCATTCGGACCCAATGCTCAGATGTATACGCGCCTTTACTCTCTAAGGTAGTAACACTGTTTTTTTGATGATTTATTGTTTTCATGGAATACTTGATGGTTTCTTATACGGAAAATGCGTTTTTGGGGAAATTTGTCTACAATTAAAAATAAAATAAAAACAAAAACATCATCCGCTATATTGTTGAAAATACTATATTTTGAACAACGGTGATGTGAAGTAATGCGTCAATTAAAACCTTGTGAAAATGTACAAAATGCGTTTCTTTGCATTTTTTAAAAATATCATTTAATTTAATTGACCATTGTAACTCGGATTGTGAGATTCTAATGTTGTGCAAGACAAATAACTTAAAATAAGCCACCCTGTATGTCTAATTTCAATATGACGGACCGGCATCTCGGGAAATAATTGATGAGGATTGTGGGAGGGGGCTTAAAACAACAAAATTTGGTGACTGGCGGACAGGCGTACGGATAAAACGCCAACAATACCACATTTTTTATTTCGATAAAAAATAATAATACATGTAATAGTATACATTCAATCTTATTTGATCTCTTTTAAAGAACTTCTTGACTAGCGCTGCGTTTATCCAATGCTTGGATGTCTTTTGATGACTTTTAACTGCACTGCCATTGGCTCTCTCAATACGGGGAATGGTGTGAAAACATTTGCCTTCGCCCCGGTTTTTATTTTTGGGAAGAGAAGAACACTTTTCGCAAGTTGCAGTTGCTCTGATGGTAGGACCCTTTTTTGATCGACTCTTTTTTGTCACTTTGTGACTCACTCTCATTCGGACGAACGAAGCTGCATTTTTCCTGAAAGTTTATTAAAAGCTACTACAAAAAGGTTAATATGAACATTTCTTTATTCCCATAGGAAAAACATACAAATGTCGACATGAATTTCGAGATGACGGTTACGGACCTCGTTACGGACGTACAAATAACATTTTTTTAATCGAATCGATTCTCGTATGTTCAATATTACAAAGTTACAGTTTCACTCGATTGGGTCAGGAGCCACCCTGTATAATAATGGGAGCAAATTGACTTCCGTTAAAATGCGCCAGAAAATTATGGGTCAACACAACCTTTTCATTTTCTGTTTCATCTTCCAATTCAACATATGGGAATTTAAGTTTATAGAATCGCAAATGAGAAATCATTAATTAGTGGCAGATTTCATAATCATCTAACTGGATATTTTAATGTTAAGCCGTGTACCTAATTTTGTAACGGTCAAAGAATGTTTAATTGTGTGAAAAAGAAAATGGAAACGATATGTTTGCGCTTTCGTTTATTGGCGTTGGTCTATTGTACCACTAGTTTTATCGTTCACCATCTACGCGATACGCCACTGTGAATGCAACTCATGCGTATTCCCAGATGGCAAAGGGAGGCGCGTGCGCATAAGACGGCCCAACCCCGTTTCTTCTTGTAGCCGCAGCAGTTGCCGGTATTTGTGATCTTAATAAAAGTGTTATTTCAGTGCCTATAAGTTTAATTCTTTCAAATTTTTCTGTGATATTTTACTACGTTAGCGTTTCCATTTTTATACTTACTACAAAAACAGGTACGTTTCGCGGTTCAAAGGAATAATCCCGTAAAACAATGGGGGCTCTGCCAAATTTCGTGTGTTAAGGTCGCTTACCTGTAGATTGTTCCTGCCGATTATATTTTTTACGTGGCCCCAACGTATTTATATCGTGATCTTCTTCGTTGTGCCGAAAGTTTATTTTTAGCGAGGTCTATTTATGTGGTTTGGCATTAACGGTGTAGGTGACCAACTTGTTGCCATTCCTATGACTCGGTTTGTTTACGGTTTTTGCGTTATCTCGCCCAGAAATTTGATAAAAAGTCGACAATTACAGTTCCGCGGGGACCACCTACGCTTTAATGACACGGTTAGAAAACTCGCTCACCTTCATCGAAACGGAATTGCAATTAAGATTTTTGGCCCCGTTTCGATTTGCCAAAATGTCATAAGACGCACGTTTTTGAAATAGAGCGCTTAGTTACCGACTTTCTATTTTTGAACGAACGGCGCTAATTTCCCATCTTGGCAAGATTCTTAATTAAACTAATTAAGGCATAATCAGTGCATTAAAAAGTAGGTTAACAAATCTAATTGTATATTTTCCCAGTGAAAGCCACTCTACTCGACTTATTCTGTTATTTATTTACAGTTCAAGATACTAGCGGATTAGTAGATAATGTAGCTGAAAGTGGGGAGGAATCCGAAGACGAATGGAATTACTTTAAAGGCGATCAAGCGGAGAAAGAAAACATCAATCCTTCGGAAAGTGATAAAAAGGTTTGACGGTTAATGAGAGCGAGGGGTGATTCGCACTATGAAGTCCTATTTTGCAACGATTTTACACAGGGAATTGTAAATGTTCTAAGAATTTAATGTCGATGCATGATAATTTGAAACTTCTTAGTTAAGGATTCTACTGCCTTTAGTGTTTTGTTCTCCATCCCTCAAAGAGTCGAGATCTCAGCAGCACTGGAAAGTCATACAAAGCTCATTGATGTCTGCTTTGATAGATAGCAAAGAAGATTTTTTTGGGAGGATCAGTGTCCAAATTCTTAGGGAAAAGTAACATTCAAAATGGCTGACATGAATAAGCAACTTTTTGACTGATTTTGACTAAAGAATCTATGTAAAATTAATGTGTATTTTTATTAAAATATAATAATAGCTACTCATTTAACCTAAGCTGGAATTTGAATAATCCGAAAGTTACTCCGCACACTCTATCTGGGATTCCGTCTAAACAAGACCAAAGTGAGCTTGGTATGACTTTCCATTTTTGAAATTTTGTCGCTTACATGGACAGAGGAACGGATAAAGCGCTTCTTCGCTCTTGAAAATTGCAGATATTACACTGAACTTTAGGTTTTGTGGTGCCGTGGCAGCTCTTCAGATGGGGCTGAGCTTCACTGTCTTATTTCACGCAATCAATTACCACAATTCATTTTTATATTGTAAATAACAAAGATGTGTAAAAACAATTGGTATGAGCATCAATCTTAACCTTAAATTTTACTGGTTGATGCGAGTCATATTTATTTTGCGGAAGCATAGAATGGGGAAGAGTTCGCTAGTCTTCCTGGGAATTTACAATCTACCTGCGAATTTGAGAATTTACAGACCTTTTGGATAATTTGGGAGTATTTCGTGTTTTCAAATTAGTTAACCGGATAGTGATTGACATTGCCCATTGTAGGTATTTAATTCTTAGAAATGTAGAAAGGCAGTCAGCTCCAGTAGCACCTTTATTTATGTTTCTCTTTTAGAAAATCGCACTCAAGAACTAACGGAGAATTGATGAATGGTAAATACCTTCGAACCCTTTGATTTTCCAGAACAACAGAAATCTCTTTTAAGAACATTTAAGGTGCATTTCCCTCGCTCCAAAAAGAGCGAGGAGGACGTCTATGAGGATTTTCAAAACCGCGTGAAAGCTCTAGGAAGTAGTGCCCTTCTGAGAGCTTTCTATAGCTTTCTTTTGTACAATTTTTATAGTACTGGCACTAGCAGGTTTTTGAAAAAAAAATTATTTTATATACAGTGTCCAAGATAAATTCATGGGCATCTCCGACACTGTAGAAGATACGAAGATGGTTTAATTAGGGAAAAGATGGGCAATTAAAGAGTTATTACACTTTAAAGAAAACTAGAATTCTCCTAATTCTTAAGATATGTCAAAAAACCGAAATTGGCCGATTTTGATGTTATTTGCAGACAGCAAAAAAAATAAAAACCGCTTATTGCATTTTTTGAGTTTTACAAAACACCGTTTCGTTTCGGAGACATCATCATCAACTTTATTTTTTTATATGGTCCGTAAAAAAGTGCACACTGTATTGAGTAGCATTTTTTATTAAGAATATTACGATAGGTATATGGAACTACGATTCTTTATTTTATTTATTTTTTAAATTTTTATCTTTTTTTTAAATTTTTATTTTAAAATAAATAAATAAACATGTTTTTTTTATTTAAGTCAGAAAAAAGGGTTTTCATTCATTTTTTAACATTTTGGACATTAAAGAGTTAATTAATTAAATTATTAAACTGATTAGTGAAACTCATTATAACAAATTATATCAAGGTACATTATAAAGAATTGCAAACAAATGACCATTATTCTCCAAACATAACACTTTCTAAGTGTCGAATCTAAAACACTTATTAACATCTCAGGTTTAAGGTTTGCGAACGCTTAAAGAACTCAGTTGATTTTCAGTTTGAAAAACACAGTGGTAAGCATAATTTTTGCAATACCCCCCAAGAAAAAATCTAGGGGAGTTATGTCCGGTGAACTAGCGGGCCACGAAACTGTGGAATAAGTATTTTTCAGGAAATTTGTCTTATGCTCGCATGATTAGGGTCTTGTGCGCTGGTGCACCATCTTGTTGAAAGCCACAGTTTCCAAAATTGTTGCTAGTGGTAAGTGTTGTCCAAGGCCTCTTTTAAATTGTGCTCTAAACCTTGCGGTAAGAGAATGTTTGTGAAACAAGTTGTAAATCAGCATATGCATGATGAAAGCGCATTTTTGGTAATGCAGATCAGTATTTTAGTAGCAAAGTTTAAAATAATCGATCTCACAAGTAATCTAACTAGAGCCTGCACATCTACACTATAACAGAAAGCTTCTAGTGAAAATTTAAAATCTCTAGCAATTGTAATTGCTGAGATCTTAGTCGGACAGCCAGCCAGCCATAACAAATATAATTTCATATTTTTTTCCCAAAAAATGCGTCAAAAAGAACCTATTAAATGTGTTCCAAGCATCCCAACCCACATTAAAAGTAAAATCGAAAATAAAACAGTGTTGGTATCGAGGCATTAGCAAGAAACACTGAAACTAAACCAGCCCTGTAGTTGTTTTTCGAAAATTATATTTCGATTTTCTTGATACCAGTATCTTTTTTTAGCGCAGTTTTGAAAAAGACACGATATTCTATTCGTTATGGCTGGCTGGCCGGTTGTCCGGCTTGGCAATTATAATAGCTAGAGACTTCAAATTTTCACTAAAAGCTTTCTGCTATAGTATAGATGTGCAGGCTCTAGTCTGTTTTGAGTTAGATCGATAATTTTAAACCTTAGTAATAAAATACTGATCTGTATTACCAAAAATGCGCTTTCATCATGCATATGCTGATTTAAAAACTTGTTTTATAATTTTGACGTTCCAATGCTTGTATACAAGTCTCATGGAATAAATGGTATTATTATTATAATTATCTTCATGGGTAGTAACATACGATAACATCTCAGGAAGTCAAACTTTTCGTTTTCACCCTGTATGTCGGAAACAAATGTAGCTAGATTGATATTGTTTGTGATATTGAAAGTTTCACAATAAAGTGGCAGAGGGTCGAGAAAACCGCAAGTCGCTATCTTTAAAAATAGCAGAGGTACACTGCAGTTTCCACCAAAATAGAACACACTGTATATTACATATTTTTTTATTATTAAAAATTTGTCAACGCCTACTGCTATGGTCCATATAAAAAAATAAAGTTAATGATGATTTCTCCAAAATAAAACGCTATATCTCTCGACAGTGCCTTGTAAAGCTCAATAAGAAAAGGTTTTTTTTATTGTTTTGTATCTGTTCAAATACCTTTCATCAGAAAAAAATAAAAACGAAATTTTCTGGAATATCTTGGGAAGTTATCTGGTTTTATTTACAGCATAATAGCTCTTTAATTGCGCAACTTTTCCCTCATTTGACAATCTTATCTTCTATGGCAGGGCTGCTCAACATTTTTAACATACACTTTTGGTGGGTCACTGACGACGATCTTTATTGTAAAGGGTGGTTTTTTAGAGGTATAGAACTTTAAAAATGACATAACACATAAAAATAATGGTAATGGCCACGGTATTGGCTTTATTCGAAAGATAAGTGTATACCCTTTGTGTTTAAATAAGATTTCTGGCCTATGGGCGCCGCGGCTAGCTCGAATGAAGCAATCTGGAAGACTACTTTTTTGAGCAGCTGGAGCAGTATATCGGCAATAAGGGGGCGAATGTTGCCTATCATGATATATATGGAATATATAGGATATTTATGATATATATCTGATATACAGGGATTAATTAAGTACCACAAGTAATTAAAACCAAATACCCTGTATTAAAACTGTGAATCGCGATGGATTCTACATAAAAAAGTGCCCTAAGAAAGATTTTGCCCAAAATCAATTATCTTTAATAATAAGAAAGTTATGGTGTATTAAAGAAATCGACCAAATTCGAGAAACGCCCCCTAGCGGCCAAACGATTAGAGATAGTTACATTTTTTGATGCAGTGATTTTCTCTTTAAAATTGAGCTCTTGACACCTAGATCCATTTTTTCTATCTCTTATTATAATAAAGGGTGTTACCATAAGAAAGTGTCCAATTTAGACCACCCTGTACAACAATTAGGTATAGTGTGCGAGGACTTTAGCTTGCGAATCGCCTCTCGTTGAGACAGTTCATGTGCTAAACTTGTTGGTTTTCAGATTTCTGACCTGGACTTGGAATCCGACACGATGTCGCAATTAAATCCGAACGCGGCGGAATTTGTGCCCGTTTCACCGAAACGGGATGTAACTTCGCCCGTCTATCAGGCGCTAATGGACGATATGGTGATCGCGCAGTCCCCGAAACGATTTACAAATAACGATATCGACATCAAAGTTCCTAATCCACAAGAGTTCGAAACCGAAATCAAGCAGAGACCCGGTGATGTTGTCGAGACCGAACCGGACAATGCGCACAATTTGTCCTCGCAGGAAATCATGGAGAACTTGCTTAACGGGAAGACAATGGAAGAAATTGAATTTCAACCGTCCTTGCCGAAAGCGAACGAATTTCATTTCGGGCCGAATTCTACACCGTTCTCGACTCCGGGGAAATTCATGGATCAGTCCACCAAGGCCGTTATCGATGATGAGTCGAATTATTTAAACGAGTCCTTGAATGACGACCTTCAGAATTTAAATAAGGAGGAGAATTGCATGTCAATTTCATTTTATCAAGAGGAAGATGAACCCAATGCTTTGGATCTAAATAAAGTTCAAGTGTTACCGGAAAATTTAGAAGAATTCCTGGAGAGGCCTAAAAGCGACGATCGGTTGACAAAGGAACCGATTGAGGTGGAGGTTAATATCAGCGAAAGATTGTCACCATTTAAGGATCACCTTTCGGTTTCTTCTGGAAATTTGGGCTCCCAATCCTCGATACCAGACCTACAGTCCCCCGTACCGGATGTTCACGATGAAGTGTTGATTGCAGATGTTGAACCACCTAAGCCCAATATTCATTCACCGTTGATACCAGACGAGCAGCCACATGCCAAGTCACCAATTTCGGAAGAGGGTAGGGTTAAGTCACCAATTTCGGAAAAGGACAGGATTAAGTCACCGATTTCCGAAGAGGATAGGTTTGAAACGAAATCGCCGATGTTTGATAGAGAATCTCCAGTTTCCGTTGATGAATTGAAATGTAGTGAAAACCATGAGCCTGAAGTTTTATTGCCCGAGGTGCCCGCTCTTGATTTGCCAAAGCAAGCATCGCATGTGGAATCGCCTGTACAGGACTTAAAGCACGAATTTATATCGCATATTCCTATAGAACCATCTCCTCTTTCCTCTCCTGTGGAAGAGTCTACACCACTAGTCTTAGATGAACCTCCCCATGACTTCCTTTCCTCACCTATCCAAGAAGAGAGAACCTTAATTACAAATGAAATTGCAGATATTCCCATAGAGTCACACATAGAGAAACCAACTCTGTTTGATAACCTGGCAAAGTCCCCTCTTTCTTCACCGATACAGGAAACGAGGCCATTCCTTGTAGATACTTCCATAAGATCGACAATCTCCTCCCCTGTACAAGAAACAAAGCCGTTCTTAGAAATAGAACCATCCAATTCCGTCAAACTCTCCAATGATCTAATTAAGACTGACACAATTTTCGAACCCCCGGTACAATCCTATCAACCTCCTATGGATTTACCATTAACACCAACAAAAGCACCTTCACCACAAGTTCAATCTCCCCTTCTACTACCTACCCGATCTACCGATTCTCCCCAACTTGACTCGCCGGTCGATGACATAACCTCATCTGTAAAAGACTCGCCTTTGCCCCTAGCGTCACCAACCGAAATTCTTGAAACCATCCCCCACATATCCGATTCTCCAAAGTCAATTGCCGATACGGAATCCATAGCGACGACCGATGTAAATTCTTTCATAGAAAGATCTCGCATACCCGACATCGCGTCTCCACTAAGCGGGGACGAAACGCAAAATGTCACTCTGGAAATTAAATCAGAAATCATAGCGCCCGAGTTTCCCGTGCAGACCGTAACCACACCGTCGCAAGAGAGCAAATCTGACGATGTGCTCGTCGCACCGGCGGCTCTAATCGAGCGAGTAGTGGAAAAGGCGAAACCCGCAACTGCCGTTGCCGCCGCCGCGTCAAAGAAGACACCCGCGAGAATCTCCGCCACAAAACTTGCGCCCAAAGCGGCGCCGGCGGCGAAAGCGCAACCTGCAAAAACGACCGCGCCAACGAAACCCGCACCGCCGAAAACCGCATCGGCGGTCAGCAAAACTTTAGGCGGTAAACTGACGCCAAAAGACGTGAAACCGCCAAGCAAAGTCGCGGAGAAGAAGCCGATCGCGAACGGGGACGTCAAACCTCTGGCGAAGAAGCCTGCGTTGACCGCAACGAAAACTACACCGACCGCCAAGGCGGCCCCGCTGAAATTGAGCCCTACCAAAGTCACGGCGACGAAATTAACGCCGACGAGCACGCGTCCTTTGGCCGCCAAGCCCGCGCCGAAACCCGCCCCCCCGAAACCGTCGCCTACCACCGTTAAGGTAAGTGTGGTCGTCTCAAAGAACAACCCTTACGGAACAATTTCGCATGTTTTCAGAATGTTTTCGAACGACTGTCGGTAAGTTATGTTGTGTTTTCGTGTTTATTAGCATGGCGAAGCGTTCCAGTTCACGCTGTCTGATTGTATTAAACACTGCCGTTAATTTACGTTTTTATTCTCATCAAATTCGTGACAAATTTTGTAGCGTGCTTCTTGGTCCATCTAGCCAAATCAAATTTTAACTTGATGCATTTTTCATTAAACTGTTTCCATTCTTTAGGGCTAGTCTAGATATACTTTCCAGACTTTTATAAACTCCAACATGCGGGTGCTTCTGCAAGAATGCAGTGTTTTGAAAAGGACATAGTGGGTTATCGAAAAACGCGTTATATAGTGTATTTTACTACTTCTTACCCCAAGTGTTTCAACTAATACTAGTCATATTATGCAATAATATATGACAATTATTAAAATACAGAGTGTTCATTTTAGTTTGTGCACTATTCCTATCTCGAGAGCTACTAGGTTGGTTAAATTAACAACAAGTTAGCAAATATGCTAGATGATTTGCCTGAAAATATTGTAAGAGATTTATATTATTAACAAGATGGTGCATCTGCGCACAATGTGCAAAGTAATGCAATTTTCAATGACTTCATTTGAAAATGTTTTAAATAATATTGACTCCCGGATGTTACTATTAACGAAAACGGAGGACAATTTGAGTGGTATTTGTAAATTTATGTATTTGTGGTGTAATTGTTTTTCACATTCATTTGTATCGTCCATGGCACACTTATTTTAGTCATTTTAAATTAAAACTGATATAAATTTGTCTTATAAAAGTTGTTCTTTATCTAAGGGTATCCAAATATTATATCCCTGAATTCAGAATAAAATTCTCTATCGAATAAGGAAATAAGAAAATATAGTTCTGTTGAAAATAACAAGTTGGTATCTGCAGTTTGTGAACCACTGGTTGAAAAAAAAATTTTCATTAAAATAGGTAAAATAGAAATTGTTTGCTAATTATTGACCTCGTAGTCCTTATAGCTCTCGAGATAGCAATAGTGGACAAAATAAAATGAACACCCTGTACACGGCGTGTGGATAGCATTGTCTTACATAAATCATTTTCAAGACTGGGTGCTCATTGTAAAGCATTCTGTCTTGCTCCCAAACACGAACTTAAGATGGACTGCTGATCAAACAGTTGCATAAAGGTAGAAATGGTCCTAGCATGGGGGCGGCCATGATGTGCACGTTTTAGTTATTTTCTAGGGGAATTTTTCTAGTTCTCAAGTTTTGAGACTATTGCAGCCTTGAGAAATGGCGTGTGACAGTAATTTATTTAGAAAACGTGAGGTTAATACTTGTTTATTAGTTGATATGAATTTCGCGCCAAGTGAGTGCACATCATGGCTGCACCCATGTAGGTGTCATTTGTCAATTCAGCATTAGCAGTCCATCTTAATTTATAAATTCGTGCTCCCAACGCATTTCAGGTCGTACTTCGATACGGTTAGAACTTTTTAGAAAGGTTTTGGAAAACTTTGGATGTCAAGAGCCTTCCAATGACTTGCGCAATATTTGAAAGTTTTCCAGTACACCAATGCTCTTCTACTATTCTAGTCGCGTTTCAGAGTGCATTCTAACCCTATTTTGATCTTTCTCCCACCTCCCCTTGGTGTTTTAGAAGATCTAAATTCTAAAACATCATAGGGCATTTCCAGAATAGTTAGATTTACAAGTGTTTTCTAGGACTTTCCACTGTCACTGTCTAGAACTTGATAAAATTTTTCCAGGGCATTTCGGGTCCTTGTCAGAGGTTTTTAGGATTTCCTGACTGTGGAAATAGCATAGGAAGCTCTAGAAGATGTGCAACAAGTCCATCAAAAAGGCGTTTCACAACAAAAGCTACTGAGAGCTTTCTATAGCTAGACTCTCTTTTGTGCAACCATGGGATCACCTTTTGTAGCTCTTCGTAGGAAAATCTATGAGATAGCGTTGACAAGCAAGGATTTCCTACCAAAATTTTCTATTTCAAATAAATTTTTAAATGTTTTAATTTGTTCTCAAGTATACAGTGAATTTTAATGAAATCTTCAAGAAATTGCAAACTATGCTTTCGCGTTGGGTTTTTTTCTTTAGTTGACACCTGCCTGCATAGAGTGCGCTTATAATTATTTGCCCGTAAAGTCACTAAATATAGAAACATGCCATTGGACTTGTGCGTTAGAGGGAGAACGCATGATTTTTGCCCAAAAATGGCGGAAGTTACCAGATTCTAGTAACTTTAATGTTAGGGATTGTTCCACCTGTTTGGAGATATCTATATATTTTTATAAAACATGACAGTACTATGAAGTTAGGTTATAAAAAATTACAGCTAATCAAATTTTATTTGTCAATTTTTTTAAGTTGGCAGCAAATTTGCCCAAAAATGGCGGATGATTGCGGTACTTTCTATATCAGTGACTTTAGTTGCCCGCGGCGTAGGCGAAAAAAATTGGGTGGCATATTACCGAGCGCCTACTCTAGATCTTGTTATGAAAATTCTGATAGCAGATTTTCCGAAAAAAGTGCCCATAGAAGACATTTCCGTTTAAGCTAGGGAAAACGAAAACGATATTTGACTTTTTCAGTTTTTCAAAAATTTCAAATGTATTTTTTTAGTCACAAAAAAGGGCAACTTTGCCCCCATTTAACCTACGCTCACACTCTCACCGTTCGGGAGATCCCAATGACGAGGCAACTTGTACAAAGGAAAATAAAGCATAAATATTAAAATATCCGATAAATTGACCTTTACTAGAAGAATCTTTGGTTAAAATTTCAAAAAAATGTTATAAACCTGCGCAAGCGCGCATCTGGTTTTTACAATATGCGATGTCTGTCTTTATTAGAAACAGCTGTGGTTAAAATCTCAAAAATATATCTATTAAGAAAGTTGACCGCGCATGCGCATATTATGGAGGTGCGCACACTAAGACGCACGCAACACACTCTTTGTATTCTGTCGGATTGAATGAGCAAACACATATTATAACATATCTGATGCCACAGTGTCTGAGATCCAGATTTTGAAGTAATTTCGGAGCCTGTGTGGCCGTGGGTTGTGTTACGTTATTATTATAATTATGGCCAGTCTTTATTATTGTCAGAACTCAGCTCTAGCCTGGTTAACTATTCGCACAGATTAAAATCAAGTAGTGTTTGTCTGTACGTCGTTTTTCTAATCAAGTTTTGTCAAGTACTAAATTATTATTATTTATTAAAAAATGTACATTATTTTATACAATTTGCAATATATCTAAGTATATCACAGCGTTTTTTTGTAATTGTTTTTTGCTTTACCTTGGATGTTGCTTGTCTCAATGTGCGCATTCCCTAACTAAGGTGTGGCATGATATTGTTTTGCGCATGCCCAGTGCCAACATTCCTATTTACACAATCATTTAAATGAAATTTGATACATAGGCATTTGGAATAAAGACAAATCTGACACCACTTTCAAATTTGATTTTGCGCATGCGCAACGCACTTCCAACATTTTTATTAATGGAAGCACTTTAATTACATTTTTTGCGCATTTTCTAACGAAGTTGACTACGCCATTGCAGTCACTTTCTCTGTTCGTTCTTTTTTAATTTGGTAGCTTGTAGCTCTGGCACTTAGTTCTCTTGACGAATAATGTGCGCATGCGCAGGCTGATTGCGCAATATCAACTATGTTATTTATTTATTAATATATTTTGATAAAATTTTAACCACAGATAAGTATCTGTATCTAGAAGTCTAGTAAAGACATCACATATAGTAAAAATCAGATGTGCGCATGCGCAGATTGCTTTCTTATTTATGAAGATATTTTTTGAAATTTTAACGACAGAAGCAAACATATCGCATATTATAAACATCAAATTAATGTGCGCAATATCAACTGTTTTTATTTATCGAGATATCTTGGGAAGTACTGAGCATGGAAAATGCGCTAGTTACTCACTGTAGGGCGAAAACCTTTTTACTTGTTTTATATTTGTATATGCTCCATCATTAGGTATAGTATCCCTACTTTCTCAAACTTAATAGCCTTTCATTTGAAAGAGAATGGGGCAAGGATCTTGTACCTACAGGTATTTTTTCCCCGCCCTAGCATTAATATTATTAGGAGGAAAATACGTTCTCGTCATTTATGTTTGCTTTTTTAACTTAGTTTAATAGACTCCTTGGACGCTATTTAGAGCTATAGACAGATAGACGCAAGGACGCTCTGAAAGTTTTCGATTGCGGGGTATTATACTCTTTCAAGGCTTTGGAAAGACTGGTGTAATTGTAATTGATTTCTTCAAAATGCAGGTATTCTTAGAAGTGTCCAATGGGTGGTGGTGAACATGTCTGGAAAGGAAAAAATGATGAGAATACAAACGTTTATATTGTTTTCCAACTTTTTTGACAAATTCTGTGATGGTTCTTAGATGAATTTCTGTCCCAAAGACTGATTAACTTTTATTTTTCTAGCAAACTAAACCGTCAACTGTGGCGGCAACGAAATCCACAACATCTACCTTAACAGCCAAACCTAAAACCACTGTTCCACCCATGAAACCCCGCACTTTGGTGTCGAAATTATCCACAAACGCTCCGGATACGGAAAAACAAATTAAAGAATCTACAAATAAGCAATTAACGGCAAGTAGACTTTCATCGCCCGGCAAGCCACTCACGTCGGCGACTCGGAAACCCGCCACTAAGGTAAGGATGCAGGTTTAGTGGAGCACTAGGTATTTAAAGTAAACTATATGAAGGACGTATTGCCAACCCTCCCATTTCATAGTGGTGTGAAATTCAAGTTGGAGTATTGACCAACTTAAAAGTTAGAAACTTCTTCTTTTGTGTAGTCTTAATATTTATATACAGTGCGTAAATTTTAACTCTAACCAAAGATATATCCTATGTTCAATTGTGAAATATACATGTCAAATGCCCCTTAACGATATGCAACCAATCTGACATACTTTCATCTTTCAAATGTTTTTCAATAAACGTCAATATCTGAATTATTAATTAAATTAAGATTATTAATTACATCTTAATAAAATGTACACAAAAAGAAAAAAATGGAAATGTTACAAATATACTTCCATAATCACAGCATTAAAAAATTTCATGTTGATGGTTGAATTGTTAATGAAGATTACACCAGAAAAAGAGCTTGCCATGTTTTAACTGTAGAAATGAAGTTAACATTTAGAAAAATTACCAATTACATCACTATTCATAATTTAGCTAGAGAATTTCAAATTTCACATATGTCCATATTGAATGCAACAATTCACAGTAAATGAGTAAAGTTCCAGTAACTGAAAAAAAACACTATAAAACCACTTTGACAGTTTCTCAGTGAATTAGTTGGATCTGATAAATAAATCGGCCGAATACATATCTAAAATAACTACTAAGTTTCTTTTGTTTACACTACTGTCATATTGGTAAGATGCGTTGCATAACTGTCAGGCATATCACTGCATTAACATGTATATTTAAGAATTGAACATAGGAGATTTGTATGTAAAAATGTGTCCGTCATTTGAAGGTGCTTCAAAAATGAAGTGACAATACCTCCTTTTGCATAGTGTACAATAATCTAAAGTAGCATTAATGGCTAATTTACGTTGTTAGAAGAATACTAATTGCTACTTGCAGCCTGCGGCACCGTCAAAGACTAGCGTGGATGCTAAGAAACCGGCCGAACTTGTCCGACACAGCACAACCAAACCAAAGACCACAACCACAACCGGAATAAAGAAACCGCCCACAACAAAAACCGTAACAAACGGCGTCACAACAAAAGTATCGACGACAATAACAAGAACAACTGAAACGAAACTAATCAAAGACGTATCGCCAATAGTTGAAAGACAGATAGTCGATAACTCTCAAATACTAGAAATGCAACATACAGACTGAAGACTATAATTATTTTTATCAAATTATGCTTATTTATTTACAACTCCAGTATACTACATTATTTGTAAACGACGGCCCTTTTCTCTTATTCCGAGGCAAAGAGAACATTTTATATTTACAATTACTTTTTGTGTTGTTTTTTTACGAAAGAAGACTGAAGAGGGCCACGAAACGGGGATAGATTTTTCTTATACATCGGAGGATGGCATATTTCTTGTAATCTCCCTAACGCTAATTTTTTTGTATGTATTTTTAACGTTTTTATTAAGCTTGGCTTTTAGGTGTGCTGAAGAAGATTGTGATTTGCGATGCACTTTTCATGTAAATATGTTTTAAGTAAATTATTGGATTAAACTATCGGGTGCTATTTTTGCATGCTTTTCATATGGAAAATTATCTCCTTTCTGTTAAATATTATAGATCTTGTAGAACAATGGTTAATGTAATATGGTAATAGCGACCCAACTTGGTATATATATACATAATAACATATAGATGAGAACATTATCGATGCTGTTTACTTTTTCCGAGCTCTTCTGCGGTAAAGAGTCCACTTACTATAATTTATGCTACTTAATTATTTTCAAATACTTGTAAGGGAATTTGAAGCACGTTGAGAATTTTTAAAATTTTATATTTTTATAGTTGAATTTGTTTTTTTTCTTATGCCGTTTTAATTGTGTTTGGTAACCAGTTATCTAAAGTTGTAACCCTTGAAATGCAGCACTAAATAAATATCTTTAAAATCTTTGAGCTCTCATTAACCATTTTGTAGGCTGTTAAAGCTTCATGTGTTTGAAGAAGATTGAAATTTTCAATCTGACGATCAGAGTAACGTACGCGTAGGCCTCTAAACAATACTTACATGTAATCAATAAATATACCAAAAATAACTATGACCTCTGTTACTTGTTAAACAAAACTAAAACCGGTGAATACTAAAAATTATATTGCTATATGCAATGGCAAACGACCACTAATAATATACTAATAATAATTTTTATTGCATTTTAGTAATTTTGTTTCCACTAAACCACCCACATTGACACCTGGCCTAGCCAGCTCAATGTAAACTGGTGCTGACAGACAAAAGAAATAGTTATAATTTTTCTAGGGCACGTCCAACCACCAAAATGAGTCTTAATATTGACAAAATTTTATTAACATTTCAAATTAACAACTGATGTAATTCTGGGTACAAAATAGATTTAGGTTCTAATTTGGACATGGAACTAACCATTTACAGATGAAATAAATTTATTCGAAACCAATCTATCATATAACCTGAAATAAATATAGGCGCCGAGGGCCAGAACAACAAATATCATGTAACAAGCGGTTGATAGAAACAACTGATTAAAAAATCTTAATTACCTTAATGGCCGTTTGCACCGACAAATGTAAGCGAAGCTTAGCCTAAAATCCATGGCAACGAATATTGAGACAATCGTTGCCATGGATTTTAAGCTAAGCTCAGCTTACCTTTATCGGTGCAAACAGCCATAAAAGTAGTTCAAAAACTCTGATTGTAACTGTGATTTACAATAAATGACGCACAAATTGAACATACTTCTGAAATTCACTTCGTTGATTGGGCTCAAATTGCGAGTAAGACAACACTTGAGGGGGTTTGTTGATATTACAAATGTCAAATTGGCATTTTGATGACTGAAAAACTCCCTTGAAAGTTTAACTGGTACTGGGAAAGGGTTTATCTAAGAGACGAGACAACAGTCCGCTTGACTCTGTTTAACTTTCAACGACGTATTAAAAATCTTTTAGGAGTACACAGATTTTTTTCTACAAAAACTCGAACTGGTAGGACAAACAAGCCATGGTTAATGTCTCTTCTATTTAAAACAATTTCCGTTCCACTCGAAAAAACATCTGAAATAAAACATGCTTGTTTCGAGACTAATAAATTAGCTTATGCAGCGATAACGCTCTTATCGCAATGGCTTGGGATATCATTTTCACAAAAGAATAAGCTTAATCTTTTAACACGTAATTTCTTTACAATTAAATAAAATACAAATGATTATTTACACAAAAATGGTGTTCATTCTGAATTAGCGACTAACATTTAACTCTTAAAAAATAAATGAAAATCACACATATAGGTTGTCCTATCGTTATTGCAGGTGCCAACTAAGTAGTTCGTTAGACACTTTTATCTTGAATTAAAAATTATTTTTATTATAGGTACTCAATTATGCAGTTGTAATGTAAAAAAGTGACTTATATGGAGTTTACAGGTCTCATCTGCTAACGCCTACCAATGCGCCTACTTAATCGTGCCAGAATACATATCGAACATACTTTCCAGAAAATTTGTGCGATAGGTAGAGCATTGGTGCGCGGGTTCAGCATCCTATTGAAACCGTCAACAGTTTCCAACTCTTGTTTTTGTGTGTGCCGTGTGATTGTTATTCATAATACAATTTTGAGATTCAGATTAACAGAGAGATCTCTGGTGGCAACACATTGTAATTACTATTGGTGGGATAAAACCGCCATTTTGCTTATTTACAATTGCGAAAAGTACAATTATGCAACCAACATGGACCATTTAAGAAATCGTCTAACGCATATGCATTTCGATAGTGTTTAATTGTGAACAGTGCAATTACACAACAAACAATAGGAGATACATACAGAGCTGGGCCGAGCGTTCTAAGAAACCGCTCGAGCGACGAGCGCTCTAATTTTCTCAAAAATGCTCGCAAGCATGGAGTTGTTTTGCAAAGCGAAACCGCTTGCGAGTTCCGAACACTCCTAAAAGTGCTCGAGCGGTTTATCGCGAGCGCTCGGGGAAAGTGCTCGTGAGCGGAAAAAACGCTCGCGAGCCGCGCTTAATACTTCAGCGCTTGAGGGCGGTTAAAAGCGCTCACGAGCGAAAAAAAAACGTTCAGGAGCGGAAAAAGCACTCACGAGCGAAAAAAGAGCTTGCGAGCGGAAAAACGCTCATGAGCGGGACAGAAAAAAACCGCTCGCTAGAATAACCAGGGCCGTAGTAGCTGTGGCAAACAGTTTTCAAAAGGTGGGTCTTCAGAAAAAAAGCATTGATAACGGAAGTTTTTATTCAAAATAATTCGTGTAATTAACAATTTAAGGCACGGGGGCTACATGATATATGTGGAGTCGGCGACATCTGGGCGTCATCCCCGAGCGTGTTTATAGGTACTAACGCGGTGATTTTTCTGTTTTTTTGCTATCTTCTCGCACGATAATTTTTTTTAATGCGTCAGAAATGGTGCGAATTTAAAAGTTTTGACATTATCACTACTATGCTATTAGGTATAAATAATGTACCGCTCTTCTTCCTTGAGGTATCTAACCAGTTTTTAGAATCCTCGACCCACTCGCTGATCTCGATTAAGGGGTCGTAAATAGAGCGGTATATTCCCCTATAAGTAGTACAAAACCACTAAGTGGGTTGGGACAAAACACAATTAAACAAATAGCACATTTTATTTTAAAAGCGCTAAAAATGGTAGAATTGTTAAAAATACTTAATATCTCCAAATGCTTTTACTGACTGGATTAATGCCCGAGGTACCGCGTATATTTTTTACATCTGAGGTCCAACAGTTATGGAGCTAAATTTGATCCTTAACAAGTTCAACTTCAGAATGCGGTTTTAATCAATTCCATTGAAGAAATGGTATGACACAAACTTTACGGGTTTCTTGTATGTAACACACTTTTTGAAGTGTCAAATAAATGCAGATATAGCCAAGGGAGTGCAAGAATCGAGACCAGCACCTCTTTGCAACTTTACTAAACGCTGCTCCGTTGAATACTGGTAGTAAAATCTTACACAACTTTAAGTTCCCCGAACTGCCCTTATGAACTATCGTTCGGACACAAGACAACTAATTTCAGTTTTTTGGGGAATTACCTTACAAAATGGCGATGGCTAATAGTTTAAAGGTTAGCGTCTTTTGTACTACCAACAATATTATGTACTTATAGGGTTGTCAGACGTAGAACGGGTGATTATTTGCCACTGGGTGGAACTATATTGTGAAGTGCGTTTAAAAAAAAAGGTACACATGGGAAAATTTTATTTTTATAAACGTTGAATATTTACATTAAAAGCATACATTTAGATCTAACTGCTAATTAACCCATTGACTGTGTTGCTCTTGAAATTCTTGCAAAAATTCCACACCCATCAACTCCGAAACATTCCATTTGACTAATATTGTTTAAAATCTAACGTCTCACTTTAGCAATTGTCGTTGAGTGGGTGTGTTTGCCTCCTGACAAAACTATATAAGGCGACTGCATCTCCTTTTGTTTTGATTGGAGCATATTCAATGTACCTAGCGGTGTATCAGTCGAGCTCATCTTCTTCATCAACTGCAAACAAGTAATTACATACTGTCGAGCACACTGAAATTGAACTCACCCCTTCCTGTTGGGATTTCTTCAGCCGTTTTTCAACCTTATTCTTTCCGGGACCTTTGCCGTGAAATTTGTGAGACAAATACCTAAATGCCTCCTTGGCGCATAGCACGTGACCTTCATCGTCTATGTATTCCAGTTTGACGTTGGGTTTGAACGCATCTTTCTCCTTAAAGTCAGTTATTGGTCCTGCGTACCGTTCTCGACGATTCGCGCCGCCTCCTCCACCCCCGCCGCGTTCCGTTTCATCGCCGTACGTTTTATCTTCGATGGAGTAATGCTGCGCCTGCAGATGCGCGAACCTAGAATTCGACGGTCGATTATTCTCTTCCTTATCGAGGTATCCCTTGCTCATCGCGAGCTTCAGTGCGGCGCCTACGCCGGAGCCAACGTCCGGTTCCTCGTCCAAGATCGGCGTTTCGACGACGGTAACGCGCACAGCCTCCCGCACGATCCGGTTCGGGTCGACCGCGTTCCACTTGCCGCCCTCGTCGATTTCGTCCTCGATTATCTCGACATCGTCGTCGTCCTCCTCCTCCTCTTCCTTTTCAATATCCAATAAATTCTCGCTGTCCTCCCGATTACCCGATTTACCGTAGGTCGGAATGTCGCCCAGAGTTCGACAGAATTCGGCTGTCGCGTTCAATACGATATTACCCAATTCCATGGATTCCTCTTTGGGTTCCGTCTTCACAAGGTCGTCGACGGATAACGCGTTGTTAATGATCTGCTTCTGTTTCAGACGCCGCGATTTTTGCAATGCTCTCTCTAACGCATCGTCGACCTCGTCTTCCATTTTCACCTCCATTTTTGGATTAATTGCTGAAAAGGGAAGCGAAAACAACTCATTCTCATTTATTGGCCAATATCACCGAGTGATTTGTTGTTCTTATAATACGTTTGCGCATGCGCAAATCCAATTTTGAAATGCATTAGTAAAGGATAAGTAAAATTTATTTGGACTGCGTTTGTTGAAGCGCAAACCACAATTTTGTGTCAGAAAAACAACTGAAAAGGCCATGAAAATGTAATACATTCCAAATGTCGTATATTACCATCCATTATTTGCCCCAGAAGGTATGGAATAATGATCTGCTGCTACACGTTTTGGAGCACAGGTAACTGTTTTATAATTTCATTTGAAGTTGTGGCGTTATCGACTATTTTTTAATGGAACACCCCTGTACTCTAAACAGTACCTTTTAAAATACGTGTTTGTTGCAACATTAGAGCGTTCTCCATAACCAACCCTCACGATTAAAACTCGTATATTTGAAAAAATTGTTAACTTTACACCTCTAAAACCTGATATATCTGGAGAAATGTAAGTAACCACCAAAATACAGGGCGTTCCATTCAAAAATGAATTGATGATATCACGATCATAAAATAAAAATGCAAGATAATGTGAAGTCAATCTATGCAGGGTGTTCCCAAATAATATGTACATACGGAAGAGGCTATTCGTTGGCTTATTTTGTGACTAAAAGTACAAAGTTTCCAATCTACAGCGTGTTCTCGATTGTTTAATCTCCTGCAGTTATATTTAGCTCAAATTTGAAATATAATTTAAGATGAAGGGCTTATATCATCGGTCATTTCAATAATAGTCCAAATTTACACAGTGTTCTTTTAGAGGCCAATGTTTCATTTTTTTACCACTGAACTTTTCTTCAGTATGCCGCTGGTAGATTGTAAAATAAGAAGGAATTTTCTGGTTTCTTTAGAAACTTTTTGGTCTCATAATTTTGTCGTATCTGCAACCCTTATCAAGAATAAAAAATGAAAATACATTTTTAAAATAGTCCAGTAGGCCCTGGTTTTATTTAGATAATCTCTTGTTTTTATTAATTTTGACAGTTAAATCTATCCTATTCCATTGGCTTCCCCCTTCCCCTCCCTTCTATATGTAAGATCGCGACTAAAGTAATAATAACTGGAAGCTTCTGCCGCTTAGGCAACCTACACTATCTAAAATGGCAAAGTTGAAGTGTAATTTTTCCGCCGGGAATTCTTGAAACGCCGGAAAACTTACACTGCAACGTTGCGATTTTAGATAGGGAATGGTTAGTTGCCATCATGTTTAAGAACACCTTGTATAAAAAAAATGAATGTTTGTATGTCTTTTATGCCTGCCTAAACCGTTCATCCGATCAGGATGAAACTTTGAGGAATGGTTCCTCAAAATTAAACATGGAAAGAGGGAGTACAAAAAGATAACGAATATTTTTGTATTCGAAATTGCACCTCTTCCTAGACACCTACCGGGAATATCATCGATATCATAATGCTCCTGCTTCAAATGTCTCTTGGTATCTAAGTTTTCCAAATCAGCTGCAGACAACTTCCCTTTAGCCCGTATCTTTCGCACTTTCTTCTTGGGCTTCTTAAATTTCGACATCTCCTCCTCATTGTAGTAGTCAGAGGCGAGAGTTAGTGGCGCAGTACTTGCATTATCCACGATTTTATTTGCCAACTTCTGTTTTATGCTTTGCAAGATCATTTGTTTACGTTCGGCCGCGTTATCGTACCCAATTTGGAAACTCTCTCGCTTCTCCCCTTCAAGTTCCTCATCGTACTTGTCTAGTAGCACTTTCGGTTTTAGATTACCAAATTCGTCCAGCTCCTCGTCACCCAAGCCTTTCTTAATTTTACTCTCGTTAATCTTTCTATATTTTTCGTTTTCGCGTAAATTGATATTGATAAGAACGTCGTCGCCCCCATCTAAAACCTCTTTATCTTCCAGAGTGAGAATGACGGCAGATTCGCCAAAAGTGTCGACATCATGATGGACACGTAGCCCTTTCAGATGCTTTTCTCCATACTGCTTGTTACGCTTCGTTTTGTGTTCCGACTCGACAATCTCTCCAATCCCAAACTGTGCGTCGAGCTCCTCCAACATCATGGCCTAAAACCAAACCGTGTCACATCAATTATACATTTAATGAAACGGAACTAACCCTACGCTCAGCTTCCTTTTTCGAATCTTGAATTTGCCGATTCTTCTCAACCCAAGCGGCCGCATCGTCATCGCTTTCATCCTGACCCAACAATTTAACTTTCGACAATTTTACATCGTAACTGCGTTTCTCACGATGATCAGACAGCCTTGACCGTAGTTTTTCTTGCTGATTCTTAGCAGTCAGGCTGTGAGCGGGCTTGTGGTAGAATTCCCCCAAGTCGTCTTTCTTCTTTCCATCATTGTCCGGTTTTTGCTTGTCCAGTTTGGCGCCGCTTTCGGTTTGCAACGGTTTGAGACCGAGCTTTGCGCGCAATTTGTTCGTCTCTTTGATCGAGAGGCTCTCTACGGATCCTCCGCCTGATATTTCCGGTGGAGGAGGAGGTGATGATGGAGGAACGTCAACAGGAACAACTTCCACCACGTCGGAATCTGATGCAAAAACACACATTAAAAAAAAGACGGATCGCGAGAGACCTACCATCACTATCGCGTTCGTGCCTTTGGAGCTTTTCTCGTTTTCTTTCCTTGTGTCTGCGATGATGTCTGTGTTTCTTCTCACGAGGAGCCTCTTTTTCTTCATATGACTGACTTCTGCTACGGTGGCGTCTCTTTCGACTCTCCTTCGCCTTTTTCGTATTGGAACCCATTTTGTTTACAAGAAATAATATAAATAAATTATTTAGAATGTAATGTTTATAAACGTTCACGACACGATTTTTTCTAGGTTATGTGACGTCATATGTCATTATTGAGGTACTCTACAGCGTGTTCCAATTAATTTTGAAACGAACTTGTATATACAGGGCGAGTCAATATTTTGTAAACAGCCGATGGCACGTAAAAGATTAATTAGAAATAAATGTATTAAACTGAAGCTTCGTAGTACGAAAAGCTTTATAACCAAAAAATATTTTTAAGAATAAAAACTCGTGACTATGTAATGAACCGTCATATTAATTTTTATGTTTTGATACGCCCTTAATGATAGAATTTATGTATTATATGTCATCATTTTTTCGTAATGCCATCCGTTTGTCAGATATTAATTATAGCCATTGAAAAATATATTTTCTTATCTGAAAAGATATGAATGCAGTTGATTTTTCAGTTACGATCTTTGAATATACCCTACGGAAGAAGCAAATAATACTCTTCGGAACCGTCAGGCGTCAGACATCAGACATCAGATATGTGGCTGCTCGTCGCGGCGGACGGCAAACCCTATACAGTTCCACTCCATGAATGAGTGACAAAACTCTTCATAAAAACTCCTGCAATCAGTATGTCGTTTAGGGCAACTTCCTGGACTAAGTATTACAATCCCAATCTTTGTTTTCTCTCAAATTTAAGGCCGAGGATAAAGGATCATAATTTTTAAACCGGTGGAAAAATTTCAGTTGTTTATACATGCTTTATTTATTCAAATTAGGCTTAACATAATAACAAAACATTTAATTAAGCATAAATCAATTAGATAAACTAAGTAATAACGCTGTACCCCTTTTAACCCAGAAATCAGAATTTTCCGTACCTGATTTCAAATCGACCGCCACGACGAAGGCGGGCCATCCCTGCATTCCTGTACGGATGGGGTAGTAATAAGCGGGACATTGATACAATCCTATGGTACGGTTTGGAGGTTTGGCATTTCACTCATAATATACTTACCTCGCGTTCTTTTTTTGAGTTGTTCCACCGGTCTGAAATGAATTAGAGGCATTGCGCACACCAACTGCATCGGTAGAGGCTCGATCAGGATGGCATTCTTTTTATCCCAGCCGGCACCTTCAAGGTAGAGACCTTTTACGTAGACCCCCAATGGGGGTTTTTCGACGATTGCGTGCTCTTCAACGGTTAAAACCGTGAACTCCCAACCCAACGTGTCTATGGGAACCTCCATTCCACGCGCCGCTGTCTACATTTAAAAAATGAACAGTTTTTGTGACTCGATATTTGTCTTATATACTTGCAAACACGCGGTCAAAAACCCAGTGGGGAAGGTATACGCCGACAACCAGAAAAATAGAGGCGGTTTGATTGTTTCTGCCCATTGTAAGAAATGTTCTACTCGCCCGACCAAATCTCTGGTCCACGATCCCAATAGTTTCAGCGACGGATAAGCTGAAGAGAAAAGTGACATTTTTACCCAATGGTGAGTCGCTCACTTTTTAACCAAGGTGAAGGTACTCGTCCTTCGTCAATGCACACAAAAATGTCTTCCAGCTCAGACGACATCACCACCAAGCCTTTTATACCCTTCTGAAGTTCGTTCAGGGACAAGCGTATGCCTACAAGCAGTAAGTTGTACCTGAAAAATATCATTTGGGCACTCTGCGAAACCAAAATTATACTAACCTTTGAATTTCCTGGAGAAGCACAACGTCCAACGGACTTTTTTCAGCGCCGATCAGTTTATCCGTGGTCTCATAGTCGATGGGCGACGGTATTTTAAGCAAAACGTCTGCGGCCATTTGTAATACCTGGAAATTGTTAGTGACGTGAAGCTTACCGGTGTCAATTCGTACCTTCTCTTCCTTCGATTCGGCAGCGCTGCTACTGGCCTGTATTTGTAAGGACATTAGCGTTTCGCACATTAGTCGCGTTTCTGAGTTAAGCGACGTAATGTCCGCGTTTGGATGTTGGCCGAAAGCTTCGGGCCGATCGGAATTGGGTAAAACGTTGATATAGTCAATGTATGACTGTAACGACCCGTCGCGTGGTATGAAGTATGTTGCCAGAGACGAAAGCCTGCAAGATGCTCATTCAGACGCTGGCTCTAACATTTTTTTCCACCTACCGATAGTAAGGAGTACTTAGAGAATCCTCGCAAAAATATTGATCGATATAGGTCAGAAGGAGTCTCCTATCCCAGTCGTCTGTTACGTGACCACCGTAATTTACACCGGCAATTAGATACTTCAACGCATCCCAAGGTGTTATTGGATACTCGTCCAAGTAGATCGATAGCAAATTTTCCGATACCTATAACCGACATTCTCAGTTTGAGTACCCCAATTCGCTTTGGCACCTCAAAATCGGCGTCATTAAAACTGTAAATGACATTCCAGCCAAGTTGCTGAAACTTTTTCCGTTCCAAAAGTATTGCATGAAAGTAACACAGGCCAAACAGCAACTTCTTGTATTTCTCCCTGGCCTGGCAGAGATTGAACTGGTCCTCCGTTATGATTTGGTACATCCGCTTTAGGTTGGCTTTAATGCCCTACGAAGAAACGCTTTAACAGTCGAGTGGCCCGAGCAGGTGAGGCACCTTTGGCGGTTCAGTGGTCATTTTTATGCCAGCTTGCAAAATGGACAAAGGAAAATCGGGGTTGGGATTCGAACTTAACCAGAGTCTAAAATCTGGATGGACCTTGGCGGTCTGGATGGTCTCAACTATTTTGTCCAGCTTTGGCATCCAACTCAGCGAGAGATGGCAGTTTGCCAAGAAGACCCAGTTGCCTTCCTTAATTCCCGTGGTGATCAAGCTATGGATTTTTTGAAGATCTACTACTAACGCGCGAACTTACCGCGTCGCGATCGGTGCCTGTCCTTGGCCCAAGGAGAGCGTGTGAAAGTTATCGCCCATATCTAATGAATCTGCAAAGGAAATGAGCGCACCTGTAGGATCTACACCTGGTGACAGGACAAATATTAAGGGAGTTTGCGGGATAGACTCCTCAAAGACGGCCTTGACATCTAAAACCGGCGGCTCTACGAATTTCGGCCCTAACTGGTTAATTATAAAATTCATGACGCAAAACGAGAGGCGATCTTGCCGAACGGAACGTACGAAGAGCATTCGTTGGAACTCATTACAGATATTCTCCCATTCGTCTGAAATTCCAATCTTATACAACCACCGGTGATTAGTGCGTGGGGCAAACCGATTAAAGGCAAGGTTTCCGGTTCCGTGTGTATGTACCAATCGCGCCAGTCGCGCGTGAACTGCTCGAAACAACCGACAACACCGTGGAAACCGGGCAGTTTATCCAGTTCCGTGACGTTGTCCCAGCCTTCCCCGTTTAGCCAACCTGAAATGTAAAAGCCGTGCGAGCTGAAGTTTATGTTGGACTTACTGCACGGGTTATCCGGTTGGTTCTCTCTGTCTAGCACTACTCCTCCCTTTAGAAGGAAGTTGTATTCGTGCGGTACGATTTTTCCTTGTGCTTCCAGTATTTTGATGCACATGTAGAATGAGAATAGAAGCTTGTGGCGCTCGAAGAGAGTTCTGCAGGTGTTCCTAGAAGACTGGCGGAGTGACAACAGATTGGGGTATTTTGGGTCTCACTGGTAAACGGCGTATGTGTGATAATCATTCAAATTGGATATTCGCTGAGGTAGGTGGTTCGACTTGGGGCTTTTATCGATCGACTGGGAGAACAGTAAAATATACGAGTCTAAGGCGAATTGGTACATTGGATCAATTTTCCCCATGTCGTTTAGCACAAAGAAGAGGATTGAAGCCCTTTCGGCGCACGGTCGATATCCCTGAAACACTTCGATGAGCACTTACGGTTTTGGTACCGGGCGCGTGGTCACCTCTCTGGCCATGTCAATTTGAATCTCTGTGGTTTCGGAGACTTCCAAGCTTTCTTGTACTGCAATTGAGGTCGCTTTCGACACCTGTAGGGTATCAAAGAGCTCGGCGTTATCCAAAAGCGAACCTTTCGATTCGTTCAGTAATCTCAGCAGCTCGTTTTCTAAATTGATCAAGGTACGTTTGCCCTGAGCGATTGTCGTCACCATCTTATCCTTTTGCTCCTCCAATTGGGGCCGCTCCTTTCTAATGACGACACCTAGGAGTTGCGCCTCCAGTCCCTGCTGCTTCACGGCGAAATTGACGAGGGTGGTTTTGGTCGAGATTTCCGGCGGGTAGTGCGGGTTAGTCAGCTTGGTTGTAATGAAGAACTTGAATTTCCAGTTATATGTTATCAGTTTTTCGTCGAATTTAAGATACTCTAGCCCTCCTTGTTTGACTATATCTTTGTTCAAGAGGGGATTAAGCGACGGATCCATTTCTTCGAGAATGTTCTGCAGTATGACTGGTTTGCCATTTTGTATGGCAGCTTCGAGTGTTCGCATATAATCGTGCATGCCGAAGTCAATCACCTTTAGGCCATTTTTCCTCTCCATCGCCTTTATCCACTTCTGCGCTTGCGTTTGCGGATCAATCACGAGCGGCCATCTAGTGCCCCGGGTGACGATGATTCCGTTTTCTGTGCTGAAACCGTCCGATGGTAAACCTTGTATGTTCCACTCACGGATCGTCGTGGGGTCGATTAGGAATTTGATTACGTTGAACTCTTCGTCGAAGGGAATCTCTAGCTCGAGTACCTAAGATTACGTACATTAAAAAAAAGCGAGCATGGTGTTTATTTATTGTTTGTTGTTAACACTTTATACCGTGCGATCAAAAATGAGAAATCGTACTGAACATGAACTTCCAAAGCCTCCACTGCAACTCATTTTTGATCGTCCGTCAGTAACCAAGTAATACTTTTTTACCGTATTTTTAAAAGTCCATTCCATCCCCTCGTCGGTCTAAAGGCTTATTTATTACTTTTAAGAGCAGCCTTCTATGAGGCCCGAGGCCCGAGAGCTAGCTTTATGTATTAAAAAAATCAATAGAAATATAAATCAATAAAATGATCAAATGCGTGTTGCATCTCAAATTAACGACCACATTTACGCTTGAAAAAATTGTATGGTACAGGGTGACCCAACATTATTGTAGGTGCAAATGACAACTAAAAAGCACGCATGACGTTATTTACACAACAATAATGATTTAAAATTTTGGGATCGCTCAAATGATTTCTAACCAAGAAATTACCTGTGCTGATGAACACACTATTGAGAAAAGAGAAAAAAACCGCAACCTCTATCTGGTCTCAGATGTGCCGCGCGGTAGGTACCTGTTGCTTCCAAAAGTCGACCAGACTTTCACGATATTGAGACACAAACGGTCCCAAGTACGAGACAAAGGCAGTGGCCAACAAGCAATCGCCTGGTAAATCAGCAAACTGGCCGTCAAGCGTACATACGGTCGTGTACCACCGTTCGCGTTCTCCCGCCAAGTTCGATACGAGCATTGCAGCCCTTTCTAATTTCAACCGTAACATTTCAGCCTTTCTGTTCAGCTCCTCCTTTTGCAGCAATTTCTCTTCATACTCCCTCTGCAGTTTCGCGAGCATCATATTAAGCTCGGCCAGTTTCGCGTGGGCCTCGGCCAGGAGTTTTTGCTGCAGTCGGAGAGACTCCATAGCTTCATCCAAACGAGCTTTCTTGGGCGCTACCACTCTGCAAAGGTAATTTAGTAGGCGGACTAACTCCAACGTACACGTCTCACTTCCAGACTTTAGCGTATTTCTCAATGGCAATGACCCACATGCACAGCGACTTCGCGGCTAGTGACACGATGCCGATCTTTTCAGGGACAAACTCCTTATTTGACGTGTATGTGGCAATTTTCTTCAAAGTCTTGTCGGATATGTTGTTCTTGTCGAACTCCCTTAAATCGTTCAGGAAATTCTGTTCGCCCAATTGCCGTTTCGACTCAGCCCAGGTTGGCTCGAGCTGTAAGCACCGCGTCCAATAATAAATGCGCGAAAGTGTACCCTACCTGTTTTAGAATCATGACGGCCTCCATCACCATCTCCACTTTATACGGTGGTTTTCCGTAAGATTTCATTTCGGAGATATCTTTTTTATTCAGCGCGTCTAGTGCTTGTATGGCTTCTTCAAGGGCTGGCATTGCCTCGTCCAAATCGGCTTGCGCGATTTCCGCCAGTTTCTTACATTCAATCTCCGCTTCTCCAATTTTAATGCTGGTAATGGCCACTTCCTTCGCCTGTTCATCCGCCTCCTTGCGTTGCGAGACAATGATCACCAAATAATCGTCGCACTGCTTTTGAAACTCCGCCACTTTGATCTGGGCCACTTCCAGCTCCTGTGACATCAGCTCGACTTTCGCCCGACAATCGTCGATCTTCCACAGCCCATTCCGCAGCTTGTTGGCTTGGCTCGCTATTTCGGAACGTTTATCACGTAGCATGCTGGCGAGGCAACCGATTAGTAGCGATCCCAAAAGAAACCGACTTACATCTTATACCCGGCGACCAGCTCAAGGTAGTTAGTTGGGGTGACGTAATTACGCCTCTTCATTTCGTCGGCCATACGTTTCGAGCACTTTGCGACGGAATCATGAATTGTGGCAAAGGCTAGCGCGACGGCCTGCTTTAGCCGATCTTGCGTCGACAGTAAAACTGAAGCTTTGCGTTTTTCCTAAAGAGCAAATGAGAGAACGACCGGTGCTAGCAAGGCGTTTACCAATGTATCGCCCGTAATTGTCGCGACGAAGTTGACGTCACCAATGTACTTTTGAGCGACTTCCAATAGTGCTTCCTTCGGCCAATCGCAGAACCAGTCGATCGTTGAGCAATTCACCAGCGAAGGGTACTGACGCAGGCGCACTCGGAATGCGTCACCAATTGGGCTCATACACAGGACGATGTGAAGGTTTTCTCTTACTCTCTCAATTAGAAAATTGTACATGGCTTCGGTGGTTGGCATGATTCCCGCCCTTGTCGCTGCTCCCGATAGCTTGTTTTTAATCTGGAATTAGACGTACGTGTGCACTGTAGGGCCTGCCACAGACTATCAGGCAGAACTGGGCACAATACTTTCAAAAAGTATTTGAATACTAAATACTTTTACGTCCAGCACAAGCGAATACTAGATACAGATAGGTACATTGAAAAGTATTCAAATACTTGTCACTCAAATACATTAAAAATTTAAAATAGTATACTAGATAAAAGTCTTAATACTACTTAAAAAATCAAGTTATACTTTGTATGGGGTTAGCTTTTTTATATTTCTATTGTTATATACAAATTTAAGGGGAGTAAAAGCGTAATATTATTATTATATTATTATATAGGAGGTACCTACCAGGACCTTTCTTATACCAGTTATATCCTTAAGAATATGTGTACCAGTTTTCAAAGCGATCGTACGTACGTAGTGCACACGATACGTACGCCTTTCTGAAATTAATCCTAGCGATTTTGGAACAGATCCATTTTTGACCATCCGTTTGTGCGTGTGCATGGTAGTTTGTTTAAAAACGTGCGATCGCTTTGAAAATTGGTACACATGGTCTTAAGGATATAAGAAAGGTCCCTATTGTTTTTAAGTTACGTAGACTATCGAGTCAAAAAGTTTCACTCCAGGATTGTTCGGTCTCAAATATTTGAACTTAAAAGTACTGCCTTTTTTGGAGGCCGGAAAAAAAATGTCTGAGATCGACCGGTGTTTTCCCGAGAAATTTTGGTGTAGTCGATTTTTGGTAAAAAAGGAAGGTTATACACTGTCTTTTTTGGGTCCCGAAAAAAAAATTGTCTCAGATCGACCCGGGAAACAATTTTCTTATAGAATGTGGCCTGTAGAATCCATAATTTCAAACAGTTCCAAGATTGGGCTACTAGTTCAAAAGTTACAGCCCTTTGAATTTTCTTTCGAAATTGGTTTCTAGTCTATAACTTTTGATTGAGAAGTCTGATCGAAAAAGTACGAATTGTTTTGGATTCTACGCACCAAAATTAATAAGAAAAAGTGTTTTTCCGAGAAATTTTGGTGCAGTCGATTTTTGGTAAAAAAGGAAGGTTATACACTGCCTTTTTTTGAGCCCCGAAAAAAAAATTGTCTCAGATCGACCGGGAAAAAAGATTTTCTTATAGAATGTGGCCTGTAGAATCCATAATTTCAAACAGTTCCAAGATTGGGCTACTAGTTCAAAAGTTACAGCCCTTTGAATTTTCTTTCGTAATTGGTTTCTAGTCTATAACTTTTGATTGAGAAGTCTGATCGAAAAAGTACGAATTGTTTTGGATTCTACGCACCAAAATTAATAAGAAAAAGTGTTTTCTCGAGAAATTTTGGTGCAGTCGATTTTTGGTAAAAAAGGAAGGTTATACACTGCCTTTTTTGAGGCCCTCAAAAAAAATTGTCTCAGATCGACCCGGAAAAAATTTTCTTATAGAATGTGACCTGTAGAATCCATAATTTCAAACAGTTCCAAGATTGGGCTACTAGTTCAAAAGTTACAGCCTTTTGAATTTTCTTTCGAAATTGGTTTCTAGTCTATAACTTTTGATTGAGAGGTCTAATCGAAAAAGTACGAATTGTTTTGGATTCTACGCACCAAAATTAATAAGAAAAAGTGTTTTCTCGAGAAATTTTGGTACAGTCAATTTTTGGTAAAAAAGTAAGGTTATACACTGCCTTTTTTTGAGACCCGAAAAAAAATTGTCTCAGATGGACCCGGAAAAAATTTTCTTATAGAATGTGGCCTGTAGAATCCATAATTTCAAACAGTTCCAAGATTGGGCTACTGGTTCAAAAGTTACAGCCCTTTGAATTTTTTTTCGAAATTGGTTTTTTGTCCATAAATATAGGTACTTCTACAGTATTATCGTGGAAAAGAAATACTTAAAAGTAATCATGAAATACGGAGTAACATAACCTCATATTTCGGCGAAATTATGTGAACTTTGTATTAAGATTGTGGAAAATTTAGGGCTTCTCCCGCAAATTTTTTTTGTTTAATTAAGGTACCTACCACTTATTTTTATCAACTTCATGATCATACCTGGGGGGCTTTATAACGTCACGTAACCGTTAGATTCTCTGAAACACTATCCAGTGGTTACATGTTTATACATTGGATTTCATTGTTTAAACTGTAAAATAAACTTGAAACACTTTATTTGAAATTGCTGTCTTTTATAATTTATATATACTTACCTACTAGTAATTAAAAAAAGAATAGTTATTTACATAACATTCAGGAAAATGCAACATTACTGGCGGGGAAGTATTGAAGTACGAGGCCCCCGTCATTTTACTGACGAGTCTTGTATTAAATTTTACCCAAAATCGTATTTTAATATAAAATTTCAATTTTTATATAGAACTTTTGATTAATGTCAATCTGTCAGTGATGACAGGGGTCATTATAGACATTCATCAATGTCACAGATGCGGCCGGTAAAGTGACAGGTGCGGCCAGTAACGTGACAAGCGGCAAGTTCTGCCTGGTTTCAGGACGATTTTGGGTAAATGAATTTCCCCATATCGATCTCCTTAATGAATTAAGAGATGGGCCATCTGATTATCACAATTTCTTGTTCATGAAAGAATCAGTGTAGGTACAACTGAGTTACTGTAACTTGCATCTTCCTTTTTTTTTATTACGTGGACGAGTTGTCCATTGCAGAATAAACGAAAAATTACACCACGTTGAGTTCATTTATAGCCAATGAATCTGATTGGATGTGCGAAGTTAGTTGATTGGTGGAAAAGATTTGCGTCAAGGGATGGTGTCAATCCAAGAAAGTAAAGTAAGCGACGTCCACCACCTGTAAATTACCGTGGAGTACGTTTTAGAAATGAGACAGATTTAAGTGAAATAACTGTAAATTAGCGCAGGATGGTTTATACAGGAAGGTTTTTTTTTCATTTTCACTATGGTGATCTCGTAAACCGTACGAGGTACAATGTCACTTACACCTATGTGTAAAATAAACGCGTAAAGTTTAAACGTAAAGTTTTGGTGACCCTCAAATACAAGTGACAACTTGCGAATTAGAAACTATTACGATAAACACGAACAATAGTGGAAGCTTAAACGCGCGACGGTAAATTCTGCGACCCTAATAATTCGAGAAGAATAAATTTATAGAATTTCATTTTGTAATTCTTCGCACGTCTGAAGTAGTCGATTGTGCCCATATATTATAATCTATATTTGCCGTAACTTTCCACAAGCAAGGTTGAAGTTTATACATTTCAATAAGTCACCATGCACTTCAATATTTCTTTGCGACATTTTTCACTGTAAACTACTTGTTTTATTAGTTAAAAAAATAAGAACAACCTATCCACGCCGAAAGATTGTTAAAAACTGAGACCTATTGAGGTACACCTGATGGAACCGCCACACATACATTCAGTCTATTCACCTGTCAGACAGAATTGATCGAATTTTCATCATTTGTCAGGTCATTTTTACCACAAACTATCAGGTACACCTGACAGGTATACAGTTCAGGCGTACCTATCAGGTGTTTTCCCGAGAAATTTTGGTGTAGTCGATTTTTGGTAAAAAAAAGGCCTTTTTTTGAGACCCGAAAAAAAAATTGTCTCAGATCGACCGGAAAAAAAAACATTTTCTTATAGAACATGGCCTGTAGAATCCATAAATTAAAACAGTTCCAAGATTGGGCTACTAGTTCAAAAGTTACAGCCCTTTGAATTATCTTTCGAAATTGGTTTCTAGTCCATAACTTTTGATTGAGAAGTCTAATCGAAAAAGTACGAATCGTTTTGGATTCTACGCCCCAAAATTAATAAGAAAGAGTGTTTTCCCGAGAAATTTTGGTGCAGTCGATTTTTGGTAAAAAAGGAAGGTTATACACTGCCTTTTTTGAGGCCCGAAAAAAAATTGTCTCAGATTGACCGGGAAAAAAAAATTTCTTATAGAATGTGGCCTGTAGAATGCATAATTTCAAACAGTTCCAAGATTGGGCTACTAGTTCAAAAGTTACAGCCCTTTGTCTGTGGCCGGCCTAGGAACTTACGTCTTCAAATTCATCAGGCTTGTACAAATTGGACACCTCGCCACTGCTTAACATGTTGTTAATAATCTCCAGGAACTGCTCGTTCATCACTTGGGTGTCATTAAACAGAAATGTCGTGGGTCGAGCAAACACGCCCGTTACCGAATAGAGCGTCTTTAGATCTTCGCGAAATTCGCCCACCTTGTAGTTTTTCGTCACAGTTATTTGGAAGGTATTCAAAAGACAAATAAAAGAAGAGATCCGGGACAGTGACTGCCGACCACTTCCGCCTAGAATAGAATGGAGGGATAGGTAATGCGAGTCATGTGGCTTACCGATGCCGACGAGTAGCATGTTTCCCCTTGGTTGGGAGATGACCCTCACTATTCTGCAAATATGCTCGATGGCATCGCGAAACAAGACCAAGTCCATTCGAATCACGCCGGGTGACACGTTGTATTCGGCCATCTGGTGGTCGATATACTGCTTCAGGACGCCGTAGTCCATAATGTCTTCGTATATGCCGAAGGAGTTTAGGAAATCGCCAAAGGTCGGTATTGCCTTGTTGGTGCATAGCGCGTGCAAGGTTTGGTCGAAGTGCGCACCGAGTTGGTCATTCATTTGGCTGTAGAACCATTCGCGATCCCTGAGAGGCGGTGCACGTAAGACACAATTTGAAACACCCTACTCACCTGTCATCGATGAGGCGATCATAAAAGACCCTAAAGCTTTCGTGTATCCACAGTCGCAGAATGGAATTTTTGGTATTTTGGTAATCCTTGTGGCTTCGGAGGAGTCCTTGGAAGATCTTGGATATGTCGCGTAAATTGAACAGGTAATGCATCTTTGCGGGAGTTGGCAGCATTTTCGCGATCACGTTGTTGTAGAGATCGATGGTTGTGAGCGTGATCTCCTGTCGCACCACCTTTACTTCCTCTGGAAAGTTGGAGAGGTGCTGAGCCAGCATCGTGCCAAAGATTCGAATAATTTGTGATTCTGTAGGAAACGTCATGTTGATAACGTTAAACCGATTTAACGTCCTTTCCGATATGCTCTGCCGTCCGCCACCCGGAGGTCCCATACTTGCCATTAGCATCATGTTCTGGAATGCTCGTTGAATGAGGTGAAATAGGAAGAGTGGCCAATACCTGGACATATTTCCGCGTTTGTTTCTGTCTGTCGTACCAAAAGCCGTAATCGATCCACTGCCGAAGTAATTCAAGGGGTGGCTGAGATCCGTAGGTCTCCTTCGCTGGCATGTTAAAGTCGTCGAAGAAGGTTACCATTACTTTATTGCCAGCGGGCACAAAAGTGGTTTTGGTACGCTTCTCTAGCCTGCTTTCGATCGTTTCTTGGACGTTAACGGAGGAGGTCTAGGGTTAATACTAGGGTTAGAAAGATGCAATGATGCAACTTACTTGAGCGGAAAGGTTGACGTTTAGTACTGAGAATTTAACGGGGTCGAGACTGAACAACACCGACTGCGCAGTTGAAGTTTTGCCTGTTCCCACAGGACCTGTGAGTAAAGATGGATAACCGGATGCAAGTAAGGTCTCGACGATGCATTGATATCTAATTGTGTCTACTGTCGGTACTATGATCTTAAAAAACGGCGCCCTAAAAATATCGTGATGAAAGGAATAGATCAGTTGAAGAATTACTCGGCTGGGTAGCGCCAATTCTCGTTCAATTTGTCCTCCCAACACGAAAACGCCTTCTTCTTGACATCGACAAAATACTCGTAAACGGTATCTTTTAGAGGAAACGCTCCTTCCTTCTCGCGAATGAATGCGTCTATCTTCCTGCGACCATCTTCATCAACAGTACAACATACGGACCAGATTAAGCTGCAGATTAAGATGTGAACATTTCTCGTACACTACGACGACTTACCAGAAAAGAAACCATTGCTTCGCCATATCTTCAAATGTATCCTCATTCTTGGGATCCACTCCATTTTCTCGAGTAGCGAAAACTTCCAGCAGTCGACAGAGCGACGCCACGTAATGTAGCTCCTCACAAGGGACTGGCTCCTTACAATTAAACCGTTTGAACTCGAGCACCATTCCCAGGTAGATCATAAAGTATGATTTCATCTGTAAAATGCTTTCGGTTAGTGACGACAATGTGCCAAGAGGAATGCGCACAAGTTCCTGAAACTGTTTCCCCCTCTTTTCCTGTTTTTGAATCCAGGATGCTATGTACGGTCGCCACCCCCAATCCTTGTAGTCATTGTAGACCATGCCGCATCGGCTGACGGTCGCGGGTGAGGCCACTGTTAAATCTGCGACTTCGAAGAGGAGCGAGACTTGCTCGGGCATAGTGATGCGATCGCTATTAATTAAAGTCAGAACCTTGTTATCGTCCATCACGCTGTTCATATTCTCGATCCAGACTGCGTCGACTGGTCCGTCGAAGAGTATCCACTTCTCGTCCGGAGTCTCCTCTGAGCAAGTCTGGCGCATTGTAGCACTTATGACGCCATCCAACCACTCGTTCGTGCTTAGATTGTATTCCCCATACAACTCTCCTTGGCTCAGAGCTTTTGGATTAATCGGGTACTCGTAAACCACATTGTAACCTGGTTTTCCTGCCTTTTTTAGGTGACCCAATGACGCCTTCAGGCACTTCCACGTCGCCGATTTCGCGGTCCCGGTCTTGCCGAGTATCATAGTTGAGTGACGCGAGTTTTTTGTTTCGTACAATTGAATTACTTTAATCATCGCCTTCTTGATAGACTGAAGCGCTTCAAATGACAAATGAACGGATCGACGGAGACTTACCTGCAGACCCATAAGTGTGAACTCGGCCCGAATGGCATTGTTCATTTCCTCGTAGTCTACGACGGGAACGGAAACTCCGGGAAAGATGTCCGACATAATCCCGTTGAATAAGGGAAGATCGTTCGATGTGAACTTGGCGATGTTCATATCCGCCATCGCAAGGTAGACGACTTGCTCTTCAGGGAAATCCGAGTGAACTCTTCGCTTACGACCGGCGTACCGCAAGAGAGCCACCATGGATCTTAAACCGAAGTCATAATGGTCCTGCTTGCTCAGCTGCCTTTGAGCCAGCTGGTACAAGGTGAAGACCTTCTTGGCCAACAACTTTGTGTTTTGAAACCCATCGCTGAACAGCGTATTTTCGGCGATAATCAAATTATCGGGCACCATCATCGATATGGGGCGAAACATCGACTTTAAATTGTCGGGCAGCTCAGTTCGGCCGGCGTATCCGGGATTCATCGTGATAAAAATTCCGCACGTATGTTTTATCTTGATTTCGATACCTTTCGATTTGTTTTTTAGATATTTTGCTTTAAGGTGGAACCATTACCTTCAAACACCAAAGAGGTCTGCTTTTGTGAAATCGCCTGCAGAATGCACAAAATCTGCTGAGCCACCACGGAAAGCACCTCAATATTGATACGATTGAATTCGTCAAAACAACCCCAGGCTCCGGTCTGCGCCAAACCCGAAAAACACTTTCCCATACTTTTGTAGTCTAAACCTTCCGAGCAATTATTGACAATCACCCACATGCCCATCGCTTTGCCCAGGTCCTTGACCGTTTCCGTTTTCCCGGTTCCGGCCGGGCCTTTCGGGCTACCGCCGCGGAACAGATGCAGGGCCGTCGTCAGCGTGATGTAGCATCTACAGTTAGAAACGGTCGGTAAGTGTCTCACGTTTTTTAGTTACCTGTCTGTAAGTGGGGTGATGACCAAACGTCCCGAGTTACCGTTGTACTCGTAACCGTACATGAAGTGTGTATTGGTCTGTCGAATTAAACAATCGTCCAATTCCCGATCCCAGTAGAAACGTAACTGGGAAAACCACTCAAAGCTACCTACATCTCGGCAATCTGAAAGAACCACTAGTACAAGTGGTAGATGCAACGAAAGTACTCACTGGCTTTGTACATCCGATCGATAACGTCGCGAGAGTGAATTTCAATTGTTATCAACGAGTTGGTTTTCAGTCTTTGGATCTTGGGCAGCTCTCTCCTACTGAGCTCTGATAACGTGTTTAAAACCTGATTCTGTTGTTTGCGCAGTTTCTTCAGCGGCTTCTTACTTTCCATGATCTTACAATGTACCAGTGCTCTGGTACAATCAGTCGTCCACTGAATCTAAACAAAACCCATTAGTTTGGCTACTAACTAACTTACCGATTGTCGGTACTTGGCTGCATGCGTTGCAAAGTTGCCCGCAGTTGGACAGCAACCACTTATCTCTCGAGTGCAGATTCCTCTTCAGATCACTTCGGCACGGCTTAAACAACGCACGCAGTATCGCTCTCATGGCCGTCTCAATATCGCACAACCACATCTCAACGGGGCCGTCTAATATCACCGACCTGGTAAACTCCAAGTACTCCCCATCCTCCGAGGTCATTCCGATCGACTCCATTTTATTCAAAATTGTGTTCTAAAACAACTAGTGTACCACCCCCAAACCACAACGAGATACCTTTTGTATCTTAATCTTGTTGATGTTGTCGAACAGCTTCTTGAAGTGCGGCTGTATGGCTTCCGGTTTTTTAGAATTGCCAAGAATCTCCAACATGTCGTCGTTCGAAATAAAATAGAAGCGGGGGAAAATGTGCCTCTTGGTCTCCAGGTATCGTTCGAGGGCACGCTGAATCAACTCCAGTTGGTCGTTCATTTTGTTCATCACGTTGAGTAGGGCCGGCGGTGGTTGGATGTGGGTTGCTCTCAGAGCCGTACCCGCTTGGTACATCGCCGTGGTGATTTGGATCCAGTCCTGCGTTAGATCTTCAAAGTCCTGACTTTCTTGGGGAAGTTGCTTGCGAATGTCTTCCCCGCCGAAAATGTTCTGCAAGTGGGAGGTTACTTAGATTGCATGTGACACGCCGACTACCTCGAGGTATAGCCACTGTCTTTGCACGACTAGTGCAACTTCTAGCGTTTCCATAACGTAAGACAGCGTTTTCTCCCAGTAGTCCACATCCTTTATGAAGGGCTCAACGTATCGCGTGCTTTTCATCGTGGATAACTGCAGCATGTTCTCCTCCAGCGCTTGAAAGCAGTCGTCAACCGACTTGATTCTGTAAAAGATATCTCAGAAGAGGAATCGAATTGGGTAATATACCGAAAAACCCCGGTATCTTTATGCGGGACGATTTCGAAGATCATCACCTCCCACAAAGCCCTTATGCTCTCCAAACCTTTCTCAATTTGCAACTCCATAGTGGCGGCATTAGAAATCTCATTAATTTCGTCGGCGTAAAGCTGCATCTCCATTGCGATGATCGCCTCCAGGTTAAAATCGGCCGAATTTTCATCAAAATCCCTATTCATAGCCGCCCTAACTCGATCCCAGTGCCTTGCACGCATCGACGGATTTTTCAGGTCAGTTAGTAGCGGGAGAGTTTTCCTAAAGTTATCGACTCGCGCTTTGGTGTGGTCCACTATGTCCCACCCTTTATCTTTCAGTTCTCTTGAAAGGCGGGTCAATTTCCGGAATAGGGTTTGCGCGATGTCCTCCATATCTTCGGTTTTGATGTCCCAAAAGGCCGAATTCTTCCAGTTCTCCCACGCGGTATCCCACTCGTCCGTAAGTTGCCACACCAATTCGATAGCGTCCAGTTCCTACACTCCTAGCGTATTTTTAGAACGTTGTATTGTAACGACTTACCGCTTCCAACGCCTGCAATTCCAACGATTCGGGAAGACTCAGATCGAATATCCCCAAGTCCTTCCTCAACTGTGCCTCTTTCTCTCTAAGCGCTTTTAGGTGTTCCCTCATGGCCATTATGTAAGACAGTGCATCTTTTGCCTTCATCGTACTCGAAAAGGGACCGGTTCGTAGGAAGGTATCAAATAGCGCTATGCCATCTTGCCGCAACATTTCTGCACTCTCCAACAAACCCGCTCTGAAACTTTCCTGTAAAAAAAGGTGATGATGTTTGGAATTTTTACATGGTATATTAAAACAGGTATAAATTGTACACAACTTGTGCAGATAAAGCACATTTTTTTAAACCGTAGCATGCTATCGATGTTTACTTTCTTGGTAAATGATTAATGAAGGGGGGGGGGAGGAGGCGCTTTACACATAAACATTTAAAGACCGCCTGGCATACATTCATAATCCTATGTCTCGTCCTGACATTCCATTTTCCTTTTATGAGTACCTCTTCCGACACGTCGTCGTTAAGGTATTTGCTCCACCAATAGATATGTCACGTCCAGTCGATTCATTTTGCCTTTGAGAGCACTTTCCTCCGACAAACCGTTTTCAAGATATTCGCTCTTAAAGTTTTCCGTTGTGAAGATGTAAGGGAATACACCTGATCACGATAAGTGGTCGAGGAGGAGGACTATGGTTGGGAGAAATTAATTCCATTCGTTGAGGCCTTTCAGTCCTATATAGTACCATGAAGGATAAAACCAGTTCCCCCTCTCCGCGCCTCAAACCCCTTTTTTTAATAAGGGGTAAAAGATGAGCCGGTTACTTCATGATCAGGAAAATGAGTCGCGAGGGAAAGTTATAGTCTGTGCAGTGTACAGACCAATTTATTTCCATAAGACTTTTCAATAGAATAACATAACGAGTAGCACGTGCCCCTCCCTCCCTCCTCCTCCAATTTTCAAAAGTTTTACTTGGCACCACTAAAGGCATGCGTATGCAATATCCGTATGTAAAAGTTATGCTTTTTATTTCTTTACTTTTACTTTCAAAAACAGTATTTCAGGAAATAATTCATTTCCCCCCACCCCCTTTAAGACAGCGAAATTTGATGGCACACCTTCAAGATATAGGCTACCTGCTGCAAAAAATTCCAGCACTCTAGCACCATTCCCCTAGCAGTAGTTCATAACGGCAGAAGTGGGGCTGGACGGACGGACAAAACGCAAACAATAGCACATTTTGCCCTAAAAAGGGTGGACGGTTGAGATATTAAAAAACTTGACTCCAACACAATTAGAAACAAGTATAAGTTGTGCACAACTCCTGTGCAGATAAAGCGCATTTTTTAAACCGAAATAGCTTTTCTTTTGATATCACCATTGGATATATTTCTTGCAGACGTCTCAATCGCCGCTTGTGAGTACTCTCTTCCGACAATCCGTTCTTGAGGTATAAGGGAATATACCCGATCAGGATAGGAGGTCGAGGAGGAGGGCTGTGGTTGGTAGAAATTAATTCCTTTCGTTGAGACCTTTCATTACAGTACCATGAAGGATAAAATTAGTTCCACCCCCCTCCCCTCCGTACTTTGATCTTAGGGAGCTTTTTCGGAGGGGAATATTTGGGTTTGGATTCTTTTACTGCTTTGAAACCCTTTTGCATACAATTGAATTATATCTTTATTTTTTTGTTGTTACTATTTTGTTGTGTGCTATTGTTTGCATTTTGTCCGGCCGGCCGGACCCACTTCTACCGTTTTGAACTACTTCTAGGGGAATGGTCCTAGAGTGCTGGAATGTTTTGCAGTAGGTAGCCTATACTTTGAAGGTGTGCCAGACGGCCATCAAATTTCGCTGTCTAAAAGGGGGACCCCCCCACGAATTATTTCCTGAGATGCTGTTTTTGAAAGTAAAACGTGCATAGCTTTTACATACGACAACCAATAATTATTGGTCTCAGATTTTGCATACGCATGTCTTTAATGGTGCTAAGGTAAACTTTAGGAACGGGGGAGAAGGGGGGGGGGGCAAACACATGTTCTACCCTTCATGGTATTCGAATGAAAGCTCTCATCGAAATAAATTGGTTTGTACAAATGTAACATTCTTCGTGCGACTCTTTTCGAGATCACTGAGCGACGGGGCGGGGGGGGGGGGGGGGGGGGGTTAAAAATTAATTTGATCTCTCATTGTATTCTAATTAAAGGTTTCAACGAAAGGAACCGTTTTCTACCAACTACTACCCTTCTTTCTGTCCTCTTATCTAATTACGGGCCGGAGGGGGAGGGGGGGAGTGAAACTAGCTTTATCATTCATGGTACTCTAATGAAAGGTCTCAACGAAAGGAATTAATTTTTCTCAATTATGTAAATAACTATGCAATAAATTATTATTATTATTTTGTAGACGAATACTTGTGACCGCTTCTCTTTGTGGCGCCCCGGCATTAAATTTTTGTAGGGAAGATGGAGCGCGTTTACTTGGAGTCAAGTTAATATACCGAGGGTGGATTCATACCTTGGACTGTCCAAGCAATTTTTCAGCTTCCTCCAGGGTTTCTAAATACTTTATCCACGCCGTCGGTATCTCCTTCTCCAAATTGCGCATCTCTTCGCTTATGTCCACGTTGTACTTATCCAAAGTGATAATTTGATCGGTGATTGGCGGAAATTGTTCGGGAAAGACGTCTGCTTCCATAATCACCTCGTCAAAGTACTTCAGTGCCACCGTCATCTCCTCCAACGTTTGAGGTTGGCGCATCACTCTAGAATGCGCGGTTTGAGTCATAAATGGGGAGAAGGGAGTTACTTACATTTCCGTGTTTGTGTTTATGTAAGTGTAGACGTGGTTAATTTGTTCGTACGTTAACTTCTTCAGCAAGGCGCACAGTTTGCTCTGCCACTCAACGCAGTGCTCGATAATTGCGCGCTTCAGTTCGACGGAGTTGACGACGATAAAATGAACAGCGGTTGTCGACTCCTGGATTTGCACGTTATTTGCCACCTCAGTATATCGGCCGATGTTGGAATCGAACTGCATCGCCTTGGGTTTTGAAAGCTCGTAGCGTCCGATGAAGCGCTCCTTGTCCACCTCCCACATGTCGCGGAATGGCTCCCAGATGGCGAGGTAGCTTTGCATGTGCTGAACGTTTACATTCACCTCTGAAAGCACATGAAATGGTGATGATGGAGGACGAGGATGGAGCTTCACCTTCACTCAAAAGCGATTGGAGCCTCGTGCATTCCCGATCTGCACCGATCACTATGTGGAAAGGGCGAACGTATGCCGTTTGAATGTCGAATTTTTCTACCAGCCTCGGCAAAGATCGCAATGTGCTCGTAATGCTGGGCAAAATATTCGATATTACACGAGCAACATCGGCTAGAGATGGGTCAAAGTGAATCTAAACAAAAGATTTGGATTGTGCACTCATGAGCCTCTGTTCCCACTTACCCTGTTGCTCTTCAGTGTGGCTTCGAGTCGCAGTATGGGCGAAGGTTGTGTGCCACCATCTCCATGCAACGCCAAGTGCATAGTGCGTAAAGAGTTCCTCGTACATATCCTCAGTGCCTCCTCGATGACTACGTCGATGTTGTGAATATATGAGACCCAGCGATCACCCATCTGCAAAAATCCCTTCGTTTCGGCTACGTGGCGCAGTAGGACTCACCAAGTGAATCTGACTCTCGAATCCCTCGTAAATCAGCACCACGTATTGAATTATCTCTTGGTAGTACTTTACAATCGTGTCGATCGTTTCATTTCTGTACTGGCTCATGTCTTTTATTAGTTCGATCAGGTTGTACGCGTAGTTTGGCCGCAGACATATCAGGGAGGTGTCGCAGATTTTCTCGCACAATAGGATTATTTGAAGATTGCTAGATTTGTAGTCGTCCAAAAAGTCTTGCAACTAGAAATGTAGGTAGATTGTTAATAGGAACATAATCGCGACAGTAATGGAACACTATGTAATTTAATTTTTCATCTTCATTCCCGTATTTATTTATTATTATCTTCACCGTTCTCGCTCTTATTTTACTAGCTACAACGCTATATAAGAGCACATCGAGTAATGGGGATGTACAAGAACCGTAGCCTTTGAACCTGCGCAAGATTTACATTTTGTCCAATCAGATTTGACATTTTCAGCACACGACCAACTGCAGAAGGCATTTCCGGTTGACGAAGAGATTAGAAGATATGTATTTTTATCTGAAGGGCCGTTGATCGTTCACCACTTTCTTCGAGTTGCATTTAGCAGCGACATCTTAGAGAGGCTAATTTCGATCTACGTACCTGGATTGAGTTTTCAGAAAGGAACACAAAGTATTGTATATTCTTTCGTGTACGCTACAATACGGTTGTATAGTCAAAGTACCTGAGCAGTTGCGGCGCAGCATTCTGCAACATAAGCGTCGCCAACATCCGCCGACCACGTTAGCTTGGAAAGTCCGGGCAAGATCTTCTTTTCCACATTCCCGATGAGCTGCTTAAAAAGCATTAGCTCCTCACTCGTCAACGCGGCAATAATTTTGTTGTAGTCCATTACAACCGACAGCACGCTTTCATAGACCATCGAAATTTGCTCCGCTCTATCGCGCACGAACTGCAGGTAGCCAGGAATTTCGAAATTCAGCGCCTCCCAGTAGGCGATCTCGCGAAACATTTCCAGAAGAGTACTAGAAGAAGATTCGGTGATCCGCTGTTGAAGTTTAACTGAGGCTTACCGGTCAATGTTACACTCCAACATTCCTATCTTGGTAACGCTACGATTCATCAAAGACCTGCTCAGTTTGGTAATGACGTCACCTTCGATACTGCGTATCCACTCTTGAAAGAGATCTCTTATGAGATGCTCTATCGACGTGGAAACGTGATGGTACTGATTGAAGACGTCTCCAGAAGTACTGCAGGGTCTCATCCAGGCGGCGTTGTCCAGAACAGTTTTCCGATTTTTCAAGAACTGCATTTTCAAATAGGCGATTAACGCCCTTCCGCCATAAAAGGGAAAGTACGAAGGACAGCTGTCCTTTTCTCTAACCAAATCTTCCTTGCACTCCTGTATATTTCTTCTCAACAGCGAATACACCTAAAGTGCGACGGTTAATTATCATTTGGAAATAGCTCCCTTACATAGCAAGTTTTCTGATCGAACAAATTCCTCAAAGACTCCCTGGTAGAATAATTGTGGAGTGCGGCCAAAGCTTCCACGCCGTCGTCAACATTGACCACCCTCTTAAAGATCGCCGTAACAAGATTTTCAATGATCGTTTCGATCTCGTTCATCTCCCCTCGAAATTTCAAAATGACGTCGTTCCACGAGGACTCCTGCACGTCCAAAATCAGTTCTTGGCGCTGCCAAAGAAGATGAACGACACCGGATACGTCGACATAACGGATTTTACCTTTTCGACGTCCTCCAAACTGGCAAGGAATGCGCGTTCGATTTCTAGACACCAGTTTTCAAACTCGCGGCCGCGCGTTCCTCCGAATTTCGGCGCCGGTATCGGATCGACCTCGTCGAAACGACCGAACGTTATCATCGACTCGCAAATTTCTACCATGTCTCTGCAGCGTTTGATAAATGTGTCGATGTGGTTGAAAATTGGCGCCTTGTTAAGGTCCCATGGCGTTTGGCTTCTTTGAGCGTGGGTTTCCGATACCTACGGCGGAAGAAAGAAATTTGTAATCATTTGTTTGGGAAATTTGGAACTTAAAGGATGGTATCAGTGTAGCAGGGACTAGGATTTCAAGCGGGCCGGGATCAATTTTAGTGTGAACAAGACGAGGGACTAGGTCCCCAATAAAAATTCGAGCGAGCGACGGAGAAGCTAAGCAAAGTTCATTGCAATAAACTCATTTTTTAAATCGCATTGGGTAATTCGTAACCTCATACTGGTGACATGATGTTGCATTTTCCATCACAGACTTGGGCGACGGGAGATTAATTTCGTTTTACAATTTCGGAAACTAAAAAAGGAAAGGTACATTCGCATTGTACTAAAATATATTCTAACCGTGCAATACGTCTACCAAGTAGCGCGGAATCTCCAAAGTACATAATTAATGCATTATCAACACTCTTTGACCAAAGGAAAGCTAAAGCCGTATAAAGCCAGTACGGAAATTTCATCAATATGAGAGGATCATAAAAAAATAATCTACATAATATCGGCCCATTGCCAATTCCTTCATATACCACGAATATGAGCCTTGGCCTAGGGGAATTTTTCAATTTAGAAAACTTCTATGGAGATCGATGCTATTTCAGTTGCACCCGAATTAGAGGTCGGTATTGTAAAAATATCGAATGTTACTCGGAACAAAGATATGAGAAGGGGGCCGGTATCTTGGTGCGTGGAGGCAATGTTACAATCTTTTGCACAACCAGTACCATCAGGATCTTTAAGTTGGTATATCCAGCTAGTCAGCATGTTATAAAGCTTAAAGGGCCCTATGTACTTGGGTGCAAACTTAGCAGAGAAGTTACTAGCATCCGGCAGAACATAGCTCTTTCTCCTAGTGCTGTACATTTTGAAATTGAAAATAAATTCTTTTAGTATGTCCCAATATTGTCCACCGATAATGGTACGAGAAGCGCCTAGGAAAAGTATACCGAAAATTGTGACATCCAGATATGGTCGTTTATCACCCTCAGTTTGATTTAAATTGAAGTCCAATATCTCCTGGCGTCGTAAGATGTGGCCTTGCCAGTAGAACAGTGAGTTAGTCGACTCCTTAACGTCGCCATGTCCGTTTTCCCGTCTTTCACGTTGACATTTATGGAAACTACCTACTGTTACATTACTAGCCCCACATTTAAAGCAATGTTTACGGAGTGGAATGGTACAGGATGATGATGATCGATGGCCTGTTTCATGTTTGCTGACAGTTACAGAGGTCACGACGTCAACTATGGGCTCGGTAGGTGCAGACTGATCAGGTTCTTCAATATCAATGGTGTGTGTTCTAAGATTCTTGGCAAGATCAGGCCCAAGACCTAGAATCCAGAATGCGTGGAAATTGATCGTCGAAAAAGTACGAGTACTTTTGGGTGATCATGGTCGAAGGCATCTTCATTAACTCGATCATAAAAAAAAACCACACAGAATAGAAGTACGACGCTTTGGAGTTCCATGGTCATTTTTCCAGACCATGTAGATGAGTGAGTAAACTCGAACTTCTTGTATGTTTTCTTAATGCTACAACTTACAACAGCATACATTTTGATGTAGTCCATACAGCAGTCAATGCAGGTTTGAAACATTTTGATCGCAGCTCGACTATGCTTACTCTTGAACACAACGTCCAGCTTGATGAAGTTAATGCATTGTATGATAATTTGATTACTCAACCCTCTGCATAGGGTGGTAATCCTTTGCCTAGTGTTGTAATAGGGACTACGCATCCAAATGAAACGGAACAAATTCAAAATATCCACCAACTTCTCTGGAATTTCGTGTGGGGATTGCAACTGAAATAGTTCGGCGCATGGTTCGATAATGGTCTGAAGGTATTCTATGTTTGACTTTGCTTCTTGCACGTTGGAGTGTAAATCTTCGAACACGTACAGAAACTGGTTAACGTGGGTGGACTGTACAAAAGCTAAAATGTCGCATACATGCTTCAGTTTTAGGTTTCCCATCTGATGCTCCAGTCCGCAAAGATTTTCGTCTAGAAGCAATCCTGTACAATGGACAATGCCAAAACACGATACTTACACCTATAAACCCAAAACTCATATTCGTCAATTGGACAAAGCAAATCTTCGGCAACATTTTGGTCTTGGTCTTGCAGAGTGATTCGTATCTGTCGCGTCCAGTACACCACAATGCCTTCTAGTCTCTTAATCAGATCCTTGTCTTTGTGCGCTTGATTAAGTGACAGTTGCGCACCTTCTTCCGGCACGTAAACTACAGTTATGCCTTGCAGACGATAACAAAGGTCCGTTACTTTCGCTAGGAAAGTGTGAAACGCTCCAGAGATGTCATGTTTAATGCCAATACATTATTAAAGAAAATTACACACAGTAATTTTTGAAAAGCAAGGATACTGTCAGCCCACGTAGTCGCGCTAAACAAAGCGGGCGCGTAGACCACTTGCAGTACATCCAAAACCGCACCTTCGACATCATCGTGCACGTTACCAAAGTTGAGGCAGTCGTGCACGGTTGCAAGCTCAAACCTTTCCCGATGACTTCTAATGAAGTACATCAAATCAACCACCGGATGTCGCGGAAACTCCCTCGAAACCACAAGGTCATCCTCTCTAAAGTATACCACTATGAGAGGAATGGTCAGGTCGATGAAAAATTCCTCCACAATCTTCCCATTTTCGCAGGTCCAATCGCTATCTCTCAAATCATACAAAACCGTCAAGTCTTTGATCACTTGCACCAATTCGTTCAACTCCTCATCAGTATAGGACGCAATCCCCGAGTCTTCTACTACATCTGGTAGTATTACGCTGACGACCTTTTCTGCAGTTGAAAAAGCTACAATGAAATGGAAAGGGGATAAGACGTTAGATTACCTAGTACTTCCTCGTCGGAAAAGAGGGAATCGCGATCTCCTTCGGGTTGTACATCTAAGCTTTTTCTCATTGTTTTTTATTGTCCAGTTTGATAATTTTACAATACTGACGGATACCTACGTGATTGGAAATTTTTCATATTATTAGCCTACTATTTCCCGGTAAAAGAAACCAATTTCGAAAGAAAATTCAAAGGGCTGTAACTTTTGAACTAGTAGCCCAATCTTGGAACTGTTTGAAATTATGGATTCTACAGGCCACATTCTATAAGAAAATCTTTTTTCCCGGTCGATCTGAGACAATTTTTTTTTCGAGGCTCAAAAGAAGGCAGTGTATAACCTTCCTTTTTTTACCAAAAATCGACTGCACCAAAATTTCTCGGGAAAACACTTTTTCTTATTAATTTTGGGGCGTAGAATGCAAAACGATTCCTACTTTTTCGATTAGACTTCTCAATCAAAAGTTATAGTCAAAGAAACCAATTTCGAAAGAAAATTCAAAGGGCTATAACTTTTGAACTAGTAGCCCAATCTTGGAACTATTTGAAATTATGGATTCTACAGGCCACATTCTATAAGAAAATCTTTTTTCCCGGTCGATCTTAGACAATTTTCTTTTCGGAGCTCAAAAGAAAGCAGTGTATAACCTTCCTTTTTTACCAAAAATCGACTGCACCAAAATTTCTCGAGAAACCACTTTTTCTTATACATCTTGGTGCGTAGAATCCAAAACAATTCGTACTTTTTCGATCGGACTCCTCAATCAAAAGTTATAGACTAGAAACCAATTTTGAAAGAAAATTCAAAGGGCTATAACTTTCGAACTAATAGCCCAATCTTGGAACTGTTTGAAATTATGGATTCTACAGGCCACATTCTATAAGAATATCTTTTTTCCCGCTCGATCTGAGACAATTTTTGTTCCGCGCCTCAAAAAAAGGCAGTGTACAACCTTCCTTTTTTACCAAAAATCGACTGCACCAAAATTTCTCGGGAAAACACTTTTTCTTATAAATCTTGGTGCGTAGAATCCAAAACAATTCGTACTTTTTCGATCGGACTTCTCAATCAAAAGTTATAGACTAGAAACCAATTTCGAAAGAAAATTCAAAGGGCTATAACTTTCGAACTAATAGCCCAATCTTGGAACTGTTTGAAATTATGGTTTCTACAGGCCACATTCTATAAGAATATCTTTTTTCCCGGTCGAGGTGAGACAACTTTTTTTTCGAGGCTCAAAAGAAGGCAGTGTATAACCTTCCTTTTTTACCAAAAATCGACTGCACCAAAATTTCTCGGGAAAACACTTTTTCTTATACATCTTGGTGCGTAGAATCCAAAACAATTCGTACTTTTTCGATCGGACTCCTCAATCAAAAGTTATAGACTAGAAACCAATTTCGAAAGAAAATTCAAAGGGCTATAACTTTCGAACTAATAGCCCAATCTTGGAACTGTTTGAAATTATGGATTCTACAGGCCACATTCTATAAGAATATCTTTTTTCCCGGTCGAGGTGAGACAACTTTTTTTTCGAGGCTCAAAGGAAGGCAGTGTATAACCTTCCTTTTTTACCAAAAATCGACTGCACCAAAATTTCTCGGGAAAACACTTTTTCTTATACATCTTGGTGCGTAGAATCCAAAACAATTCGTACTTTTTCGATCGGACTTCTCAATCAAAAGTTATAGACTAGAAACCAATTTCGAAAGAAAATTCAAAGGGCTATAACTTTCTAACTAATAGCCCAATCTTGGAACTGTTTGAAATTATGGTTTCTACAGGCCACATTCTATAAGAATATCTTTTTTCCCGGTCGAGGTGAGACAACTTTTTTTTCGAGGCTCAAAAGAAGGCAGTGTATAACCTTCCTTTTTTACCAAAAATCGACTGCACCAAAATTTCTCGGGAAAACACTTTTTCTTATAATCTTGGTGCGTAGAATCCAAAACAATTCGTACTTTTTCGATCGGACTCCTCAATCAAAAGTTATAGACTAGAAACCAATTTCGAAAGAAAATTCAAAGGGCTATAACTTTCGAACTAATAGCCCAATCTTGGAACTGTTTGAAATTATGGATTCTACAGGCCACATTCTATAAGAATATCTTTTTTCCCGGTCGAGGTGAGACAACTTTTTTTTCGAGGCTCAAAAGAAGGCAGTGTATAACCTTCCTTTTTTACCAAAAATCTACTGCACCAAAATTTCTCGGGAAAACACTTTTTCTTATACATCTTGGTGCGTAGAATCCAAAACAATTCGTACTTTTTTGATCGGACTCCTCAATCAAAAGTTATAGACTAGAAACCAATTTCGAAAGAAAATTCAAAGGGCTATAACTTTCGAACTAATAGCCCAATCTTGGAACTGTTTGAAATTATGGATTCTACAGGCCACATTCTATAAGAATATCTTTTTTCCCGGTCGATCTGAGACAATTTTTGTTCCGCGCCTCAAAAAAAGGCAGTGTATAACCTTCCTTTTTTACCAAAAATCGACTGCACCAAAATTTCTCGGGAAAACACTTTTTCTTATACATCTTGGTGCGTAGAATCCAAAACAATTCGTACTTTTTCGATCGGACTCCTCAATCAAAAGTTATAGACTAGAAACCAATTTTGAAAGAAAATTCAAAGGGCTATAACTTTCGAACTAATAGCCCAATCTTGGAACTGTTTGAAATTATGGATTCTACAGGCCACATTCTATAAGAATATCTTTTTTCCCGGTCGAGGTGAGACAACTTTTTTTTCGAGGCTCAAAAGAAGGCAGTGTATAACCTTCCTTTTTTACCAAAAATCGACTGCACCAAAATTTCTCGGGAAAACACTTTTTCTTATACATCTTGGTGCGTAGAATCCAAAACAATTCGTACTTTTTCGATCGGACTCCTCAATCAAAAGTTATAGACTAGAAACCAATTTCGAAAGAAAATTCAAAGGGCTATAACTTTCGAACTAATAGCCCAATCTTGGAACTGTTTGAAATTATGGATTCTACAGGCCACATTCTATAAGAATATCTTTTTTCCCGGTCGATCTGAGACAATTTTTTTCCGGGCCTCAAAAAAAGGCAGTGTACAACCTTCCTTTTTTACCAAAAATCGACTGCACCAAAATTTCTCGGGAAAACACTTTTTCTTATAATTCTTGGTGCGTAGAATCCAAAACAATTCGTACTTTTTCGATCGGACTTCTCAATCAAAAGTTATAGACTAGAAACCAATTTCGAAAGAAAATTCAAAGGGCTATAACTTTCGAACTAGTAGCCCAATCTTGGAACTGTTTGAAATTATGGATTCTACAGGCCACATTCTATAAGAATATTTTTTTCCCGGTCGATCTGAGACAATTTTTTTTTCGAGGCTCAAAAAAAGGCAGTGTATAACCTTCCTTTATTACCAAAAATCGACTGCACCAAAATTTCTCGGGAAAACACTTTTTCTTATTAATTTTGGGGCGTAGAATCCAAAACGATTCGTACTTTTTCGCCCTAAAGTGTGTAATTCGAGGAATTTAGATGCTGTCAGGTCACCCTTAGTTAACTAGGGCCCCCCTACAAACTATTTTTTAGCCCTAAACTGAGCTAAATACGCCACTGCGTACGTATTCGAAAAAACCCAGTGCTGTCCCCTCCAAGACAAGGTGTTCAGGTGAGTGCATTACTAAAATTTGTTATTTGTTATTAGTCAATCAAAACCTACTGAACAATAACGTTGGCTTACTTCGCGTACTTAAGCCAATTAGAACAATCAATAATATTGTGTAATTTGGTCATTAAAAAACTACTTTATCTACAAAGTAGTTTGGATTTTTGGACAATTAAGTATTTAGGTAAGAGATTAAGTGGCAGAAGAAACGCCAGCTTCAATTGCTCTTTTACACTTTTCGTTTTACATAACTGCTACAGTTGAATGATCTGAATCGGATTTTGTTCTTATTTTTGAGGAAAGTTTTTGCAGTAGGTGATGGGGTTCCATTATTCACCACGAAAACCGGACTGGAGAACGTCACCAAAAAGTTTTCTGTTAGTAGGTACCTAATATCAAGGTTTTTTTTGCTCAGTTGGACATGTCAACCTGCGACAATATTGCGATGGAGAACTTTCACGGTCAGTTCTATTCTTCATTGCAAAGGGATAGGGAATATGCCATACGGGTACGTCACGCACATAAGCAGTATGGAACAAATAAGAACCTGTGCGTGGTACTCGACGGTCTTAGTATGACGGTACCAAAAGGGATTATGTAAGTTTTTATCATTTGTGGATTTGTTCAAAGTAACTTGAAGTTGCAGCTACGGACTTCTGGGTGCAAGTGGGTGCGGGAAGACTACGTTATTAGGATGCATACTTGCAAGGCGAAGACTAAACTCGGGCGAAATATGGGCTTTGGGCGGGAGCTGCGTCAAAGGCGCGCGCGTCGGATACATGCCGCAGGTGAGTGAAAAATCTTCCCTTTTGCGCTATTACTCTAAATAAAGTTCAGGAGTTGGCGCTTTACCAAGAGTTTACCATCCGCGAAACCTTGCATTACTTCGGTGGATTAGTCGGCATGCGCGCTAAGAAGATCGAAGACAGGTTGAACTTCCTGTCTAATTTGCTGATGCTACCGTCGGTAGACAAGAAGGTGGCCGATCTTAGTGGAGGCCAACAGAGAAGAGTATCACTAGCCTCCGCCTTGGTCCACGAGCCCGAACTGTTAATTCTTGACGAACCCACCGTTGGCGTCGACCCAGTTCTTAGACAGATTATTTGGGATCACCTTGTGGATATTACCCAAACCAAAGGAACTACCGTTATCATGACTAGTCACTATATAGACGAAATGAGGCAAGCTCATCTAGTAAGTCAATTGTTTCTATTCTACTTGCTTTACGGAATTATTTAAACCTCAACATTATTCGCTTTTTAAAACGGTAAAAAAATCATTGCGGCATCTCAATTAAGCTCGGGAAGACATAAGACTCATTATGTCGAAAGTGATGGTGGATACCAATGTACTACTTATAAAACTGAGCGCATCTAATTTACAGACCATTACGTAAAGAATCGGGAAGTAGAAGTGTTTTTCCAAATAAATTAAAAGTCCAGTATGGATATTAATTTAATATAAATATTATAATGTATTATAATATTATCATGTGATATTCTTTTCCACGACCGGTGTAAACTGAACGGAATTCTCGAGCGCCACCAGTAGTTGTGGCCTTGCCCTTGACCAAGGTCGGCGATTTAATACCCGTGCGGTTGCCGGCAAACGGTGGCAGGTCACTAGCGGAAAATCTAAAAACAGAGTTACGGCACACAAAACGGTATCCAATTCTTCAGTGAGAACGGCAAAAAAATTAACTAACGGTAAATAACGGCCTCATCTTTTCTAAAATTCTCGAAATGCGGAAAGGAAATGCTGGAAAATCCGGCTCGTCCAAAGAACTAGAAAATTTAAACTTCTTTAATTAATTGTTTCTTCTCTGTCATCCGAAAAATCTTCCACCATAAATTAGCGCGCTTCTTTCGATACTAAACTCAACCTAAATTAAGAAACTGAACAATTAGATACGGCATCTTTTTTCCGTAACGGCGGCTAAAACGACGTTATAAATTAAAGCACTTAACGTTACCTTCTGTTCCCGAGAATATAAATGAATAGGTCCGGAGCTACGGTTTTTCGTAATGAAGCACTCGTTCGAGTTCGTCCATATACCGGGTGTTCACCAAGCCATAGCGAAAAACAGGTGTTTCATTACGCATTCTCTCGAACAAAATGATTGCATCCTGTAACGGGGGTCCTTGAATGAAGTTGATTTTTTTTAATTCTTGTAGGGTTAGATTCGTTTTCTGGGTTTCGGGTAGCTCAGTGTTGAGTAGGGTGGTCTGCTGAAGGGGCTGATATTCCAAGATTTTGTTGTTTTAAATTCCTTTCTTAAGTCGATATTTCTGTCAGACGAAGGCCAGATGTGCCATAGGATCTTTTTTAATGGCCGGATAAAATTCAAGCGCCTGCTATAAGATCAGGTTTTTCATAAATAAAGTTACAGTACAGCTGAATCAAATCCTGTAGTTGAGAAAGAACGCGACGCAACTTAGAAGAAACTGCCAATTTTAAAAAGCGTAAGTGGGCTTGTGAGTAGTTCACGAGCGCGAAAAGATCAATGCGTTTTGAGCCGTCGTAGAGCCCACATCAAAAGTTTTTTTAAAGAACGGCAAATTAAATTCCTTGTGGGGCGTCAGAGAGCTCAAGTCATATGATATTAGCGGAGTTGGAGAGATTTTTGTATGCGGGTAGCTGACAAAATGAAGAGCTTTATTAGCTTCAACTAAACGTTGTTCCATTAAATGACCTCATCCGGATAACTTCAAAAACAGATTTCAAGACACTTCATAAAAACTGCAATGGACCTTCCCAGACTTCGCAAAGACTACAGAAATAATACACACAACATTGCATCTGTGAATTACTTCCATAACCTTTGATAATTTACCCATGTTTTTTTCAAATTTGCGTAATGGTCATTTTTGAAAAAGTAACAGTTAACACGTTAATTCCACATCGAGAGTGATTCTAGATCTTTGCGGAATAGTTTGAAACATATTGGAAGACGTTGCAGAAGTTTTTAGAACGATGCGGTTAGCGATTACAACAATTTCAGCACATGGTGGAATGTTCCTGAAAGTTTCAGACAATTTCGGAACCCTTTTCTGATTTTGGCCGTTTGGTCAAGTCAATTTTACAGGTCCAGCGGTTTAAAAGCATTAACCGAAACCACGAATCCATATTTTCTCCGGTATAGACTCGTAGTTGCATTTGGGCAGCTTTAAATCGCCTTCTTGGGGAAAAAAACTCATCTCGCCACTCGAATTGAAATGAATGGTGGAAGCTTTACTTACCCATTTAGTGAACAAAGCTGGAAAGTATCGTTTTGTTTGTCTGAAGCTAATGGCTACCACAATCCTGAAGTTGAAATATGAAGAACCTTCGATAATGTTTTTTTCAATAGATCTTTATGGAAAAAAAATATACTGGCGCGCTTAATTAGATTGTCCTTGGCCGAAATACGGTTGTTCAATTTATGTTACTAAAAGGTGCATATTTTACGACAGTCTTTATTTCTTTCTTTTCCTTTCTTGTAGTGTAATTAACTGACACATTTAATTAACTGGCTTCTATATATTAATTTATCCCACTGGTAAAGTTCGCGGATACCCAGTGGAATTTTTATAACAAACCCTTTATCCAAAGTCAAATGATTTTTTAACTTTTTCTTTGTAACTGAATAACTGATGCCTCCGAGATCAAAGAACCGGAACCAAAACTTTCCCTGATTAATTTCCCGCCGGCAGTCTCAGAAAACAAATTTACTTTCTTACTAAACACTGCTTGCTCTGGTAACCCAGACCCTAATGAATCCAAAATCTTTCTATCAATCACACACTGGTCGCATCGATGGCTTAAACGCGAATCAATGTAAAATCCTGCGGAATAGCCCCTACTTGATTAATTACAGACTAACTAACACCCTTTTCGATTTGGCTTCTAGTAGGTAATTAAGTACCTAAACCATTCTGCTTAACTCGCAGTTTTTATCACGTAGCCCTAATTAACCGAATTTAATCCAAAGATGGCTACCGTTACACAATTCACTTCTCTTTGAATGTTGCGAGACATTCTTGCAAAATTTGTGTAACCGATCACGGGCGCATTGCAATAAACTTTTCATTTCGCAGATTGGTTTAATGCGAGGAGGTCGCTTCCTAGCAGAGGAATCGCCCAGAGACCTTCTCGTCAAGTTCAGTACCGACAGTTTGGAGGAGGTTTTTCTGCGATTGAGCGCCAATCAAATTTTGATGAAAGAAAACGAATCGAACGACATGCCAGGTAAACGAGACTCCCTTACTCAAAGATCCCAAAATCTCGTGGAAAAGTCGCACTTTCTTCCTTCGATACACTGGGATCACCTAAGGACGTTGCTGTGGATCAACGGACTATGGATGCTAAGAAATTTACCCGTGGTCCTCTTCATGTTGCTGCTACCACTGGTGCAGATGTCGCTGTTCTGTTCGGCGATAGGACACAATCCTAAAGGTCTGACGGTGGCGATTGTCAATTACGAAACGCAGAATTTGTCGAATTGTGACACCACGCTGGCGTGTAACAGTTCCACGCTCAGTTGCGGATACCTCTACTACTTGAAGGGAAAGGATCTAAACTTTGTAAGTTTCGACAGCCCCTCTCACACATCAAAATAAATGTGTCTCCTAATATTCTGCTGTTACCAGCTCAGACGTGTTCAACACAATAATTGCAAAATTGTGATGACTTTGGCAGGTCCATTACAAAACCGACCATGAGGGAGTCGACTCAGTGCTCAAAGGCGAAACGTACGCATCCATCGTAATCAAGGCCAACTACACCGAGGGATTGCAAGCACGCATCGCCAAAGGCTGCAACGCGACGCCTTGGGACATTTCCGCCAGCGAGATCGAAGTGCTTCGCGACACGACCAGTAAAGACATCGCTATGTTTCTCATGTTCTACATATACGAGGCCTTTCAGGAGTTCATCCAGAACTATTTGAAATCCTGCGGCTTCCGCTCGCACGCAATATCAGTGCCGATCCAGGTGAGCAGCACTTCCTAAACCAAATGAACTACCTATGTTGCTTTCAGTGGGAACCGCCGGTCTATGGGCTACGTTATCCCAGCTTTACCGAATTCGTGACTCCGGGAATAATTCTAACGTGAGTATAGTTGTTAATTGGCGACGAGGACGGTTGATCGTAATTGTAGGACGACCTTCTTCTTGGCTTTGGCGTTGACGGCTGGTGCCATGATAATTCAAAGAAACCAGGGATGTATCGAGAGGGCCATGGTTAGCGGAGTGACACCAATTGAACTGTTGGTTACTCACATCATTTGCCAGTTCGTTATCATTCTAGTTCAGCTTACTATAGTTCTCGTGTGTTCTTTTGTGATATTTAAACTTACTCTGAATGGATCCGTAGTGTTAGTGACCTTACTGTCCATCCTGAGTGGATTTTGTGGAATGTGCTTCGGTAACTTTTCCATTGGTGGTCTTGAAAATGCACCAAGGTCGAATTTCAGGTTTCGCAATATCGTGTGGAGTCGATTCTGAACGAATGGCCATGTACATCGCTCTAGGAAGTCTGGTCCCTTTGCTGATGTTATCCGGAATTGTGTGGCCAGTTGAAGGCATGCACTACATCTTGCAGTTATGTTCCTTTTTGATGCCACTCACAAAAGCCACTGAAAGTATGCGAAGTATTTTGCAGCGAGGCTGGGGAATGACTTCTCCCGTGGTGCACATGGGATTTATTTCTATTGCTATCTGGGCATTTGTATTTCTTTTATTTAGTATCGTGTTATTAAAATTTAAAAAAGGATAATATATTTATTTGCGAAGGTTTTTATTGAATGCCCTATGTATCCCCCCCCTCCCCCACCACCGCCATATTAACTGTATTGCAACGGAGGGGATGTGCAAATATAGTAAGGAGGGATGAAACTGATGGCAAAGTGATGTCTCCAACCAGGGCACAGCGACGGGGCAGAGGTAGGCATCGAAGGGGGAGGGGCAACAAAAATGTTGAAGAGATTGTTACGTTTACTTTGGGGAAAACTCAAAAGTAACCAAATTACTTTGAGATAAGCACGCAGTAAGCTCAGGCAAGGTAGAGGTGGGTCGGGGTGAACATCGGGGTTCTTGTACACTAAAAAAACGAAGCAGAAAGGGAAATGTAGTAAATAGTAAATTTCAAAAGAGAGGAGACAATACTTACCAAAAGGGGCAAACAATGATTACTGAGAGATCTTGTTCTAGTCTTGACAATCTAGTTCTGGGAGTAATTGATTTCTTGGATGAAGGAGAGCCACTATCTATCAATAGTATACGTCTTCTTAGAAGGTGGAGATTAATAGGGAGACATCGTCAATAGATATGTCTCGCCCAGATAATTCATTTTGCCTTTGCGGGTAGTTTGCTGCGACAAAGAGTTCGCGAGATATTCGCTCGTAAAGTTTTGACCACCACCATCATCAATGGATATATCTTTCAGACGTCCCAATCGCTCTTCGTGAGCACCATGCTCTGACAATCTGTTCTTGAGAATTGTTTATATGCTATCACGATAAGGTGTCAAGGAGAAATACTATGGTTGGTAGAAATTAATTGCTTTCGTTGAGACCTTTCATTAGAGTACCATGAAGGATAAAACCAGTTCCACCCCCACCCCGTCCAACCCCTTCTTTTGATAAGGGATCAGAAAGTATGACGGTAGATGGTAGAAAACGGTACCTTCTGTTGAGACCTTTCATTAGAATATCATGAAAGATAAAATTAATTTCTACCTCCAACCGCCTCCCCGGCCACCTACTGATCACGAAAAGGAGTCGCGCAGGAAAGTTATAGTTTGTACAAACCAATTCATTTTGGTGAGACGTTTCATTAGAATGCCATAAAGGGTAGAACGTCTGTTTATTCCCTTCCCCCTCATTTTCAAAAATTTAATTTGAATTTTCTTGCACCACTAAAGGCATGTGTATGTAAAATTTAAGACCAGCTGGTTGTGACATGTAAAAGTTATGCAAGTTTCATTTTAAAAAACAACATCTCAGGAAATAATTCATGGGGGAGCCTCCCCCTTGAGACCACGAAATTTGATGGTCGCTTGGCACACCTCCAAGGTATAGGCTACGTATTGCAAAAAAATTCCAGAACTCTAGGACCATTCCCCTAAAAGCAGTTCACACCCGCAGGAGTGGGTCCGGGCAGACGGACGGACGGTCAGACAAAAGGCAAACAATAGCACATTTTTTTTTAATTCTTAAAAAATGCGTAAAAAAGATTAACAATAAGAGAAGGAAAATCGAAGAAACTGGGAGAGAAGATAAAGGAAACTGCGAGGGAAAATAAAGGAAATTCTGAGAAAAGAATGAGGGAACTCGAGGGAAGATATAGCCTTAAAAAATGCTCAATCATGAATCTACGCACCTTGCACTGATTATGTGCAAATACAAATCCGCCTAAAGCGTTCAGTGGAGCACAGCCACAGACTTCAGAAAGAAACACTCGCAAAGATACATGGTGACAGACAAAACCAAAAGCTCAGATAGACACGAAGTGAGTAGAAAAATAATGGCGTACCGAACAAATAATTTTCATGAATCTTCACTGAAAGGAAGGCGTAAGTAGAAAAAATGAAAAGAAAAAAGAAAATAGAGAACTAAGGTAATAAGAAATCCAGTACAAAACTAACTTACATTAGGTTTACAAAGAGGAAATACCTAAATGGCGTAAGAATTTAATTAAGAGCACAAATCGAACGTTACTTAAATGCAATTTAAATCGTTAATGGCCGTTTGCATCGACAAATTTAAGTGGAGCTTAGCTTAAGGCGTAGCTTAAAATCCATGGCAACCATTGTCTCAATAATCGTTGCCATGGATTTTAAGCTACGCTTAAGCTAAGCTCCACTTAAATTTGTCGGTGCAAACGGCCATAAGGAAAAAGACCTAACAAGTTTGGAAAAGATTTTTAAGAAACTTTGAAGAGATCTTAATGCGCAAGCCTGTTGAGGGCCCAGAACAAGAGAGGGATAATAAATAAAGAGATTGTAAAGAAATTGTGAAGAGATTTTAAAGAGATTTTGAAGAGAGTGTGAAGAGGTTCTGAAGAGATTTTGAAGAGATTGTGAAGAGATTTTAAAGGGATTTTGACGACGTGGAAAGATTTTAAAGAGATTTTGAAGAGAGTGTGAAGGGATCTTGAAGAGATTTTGAAGAGACGCGTCTACAAACCCTTATTTAATATAAACCATTTAACATTAATACATTGCACCTTACTTTATTATCTCCAAGAAAGTTTATCTTTGCAAACTGAAAACTTTCTTTAAATGAAAATCGCTACGGGATACACAGAGGAATTCTTTCAAATGTTTCTGCGGCTGCTGGTTGATTTAACTTGCGATACGAAACCGATCCTACTAATCAGAAACGGACACGTATAACCCATTAATTCTGCCTAATCTGCCGCCAGACTAGCGCGACCTACAGTCTCGCGCAATAAATCGGTCATTCCCGCATCTGGCCACCATTAATTAAAAAAATGATAGAGCAACAAATTTATTCAGAAACCATCGACATCTAAATCAATAGAGCAAGGGAAAAAACGCACTATTATGAAACCACCATAGTACTTCTCCCCTAAAACCACACAACCTTAAAGAACTTCAATCCTAACTTCTTAATTTGGGGGAACCACCCTTAAAATCATTCAAAGTACCGAAATCTAATCGCGCCTATCTGTCCTAATTGCTCTATATACATTTCAAAAACTCTTAAAATACACCAGCGGGTTCCCGTTATGCGTGTTACAGGTTTATGTTTTTTGGTTTAAATAATATAAATAAAACTTTGTTCTGAATATTCCGAATTTCTTAAACTTTGAATGTCTGTAACATTTTTCTGCTATTTTTTGAGCACTTGGTGTGGGGAACCAGTTGACAGTTTGGAGTTTTGTTACGGGCACTAATAAATTAATAAGTATGTGTTAAAAACGGCACCATCCACATTGCAAGTGATTCTTTCTTGTAGTGACAACAGTAGGTATGATGTGTGTAAAATTTAATACAAAACTCGTTAGAAAATGACACTACTTGACTCAGAATTTAAATTATTCGGCCTCACTCGGCCACAAACGGTCCCCGTACTTTTTATTTAAATTTACCATTATTGTACACTAGTTCAGCAAAAACAGACCAAAAATACGACCTTCAAGATCATTGGCCCATAAGTTTGTGCCAAGGTTTACAGTGTGTCGCTGTAAATTGCGCTTATTTAAAGCGAGCCTGCCATTGCAAACCACTTTGATTAAGTTTGGGGAAAATGGTCAGGGATTTTCATTAATATCAATCGGATCTGAGGTGTCTCGATGGAATGCTAAATGCCCCAAGTTTCACTTTCGAATATCTGCTGGAGGATGATTCCAAAACCTGCTTAGGTGAACTGAAAGAGCCTTGAAGCTGGAGGTCTAGGTCTTCTACGTTATCCCCTCTAGTGCGAAATGATCAGGTAAGTGAATTACAAAATTTGTTATTTTAAAATGTTAGTTCAGTAATGGCCGTTGAATAATAAACGTGCGTGTCGCTTTCGTTTTCGACAATTAACTGTGCGTACTGAAAGAAGTATGAAACGCACCGAATTTAGTGGAAGACCAAATAATTAGGTAAATCGTCCATTAGTTAGTTAAGAGTTTCCATTAATTTGGTGCACTCATGAACACTTTTGGTGTGCAACCATTCAGAAATCCGTCCGTGCGGAAGTAGCCCAATTGTTTTGCAAACATCCTGCAGTGATGTTTATTTTCAAAATTTACGTAATGATTCAATTAATAAACATAAATTATGAAATTTATATCGAAACAATATATACATTCGTGTCATCGCAAGTAGGTCACAAAGATTTTCCAGTGAAGAAAATTTTTGGCACTTTTTTGCGGATTTGGCGGATCTCAGATTAGGTAGCTAACTGTGGGTAAGTAGCTCTTTTTCTTCCTGTAATTATATTTTAGATTAGGTGCGTGGACCTACGATAATCATTTTCCTCTTAATTTAATTCCATATAATTAAACATTTGCGTGTTTAAACTTAATTGCTATGGTGATCGGGATTCGATGATTTCTTTGTCTTTTATACCTTGCCCGGTGCGACAGACGGGGTTGATTTTGGAAACAAAGAGGACCGTTTCAAAAAAGGTTCAAAAGAACATATTTTTTAAATAAAGGAATTTGTTAAGAAGCAATAACAATTAATTATAATAAATTATCGATTTTCTATTAAAGTTCAAATTTTAAAGCGTATAATCAACGAGGTCGTTGAAATTTATATTCAAAAATATGAGGAAACACACGCGTATAGCAGGTAAAAGAAAGCTGCACCCACATTTTGTGCTTCACCAACACCCTTGCTCAATTTTTAAGCAACCCTGCTAGCTGTATCTTCCGATGCTTGCTTCTATTTCACAGCAATTCTGCAGGTTCAAACTAGTAGCATCGTGAAGCAATTTACTTTTGCAAAATTATCAATCAAGCGAATCAATGACGTAATCGAAATTAAATTTCTATGCTCCTGATACAATCTACACTTTGGAGGAGATTACACCTGCACTTCTACGGTCCTAATACATTGTTTGAATACAATTTTGATATCAGGAGAAAATAAATTCTGAACTGGTTTTTATAGTACGAACAGACATGGGAAGTCCGCACCAATCTTCTGTGCGCCTAAAAATTAAATTCTGTTTAGGGTGTTTGTCAGGGGAACATACGGCTGAAGTGGAAGGTAGTGGATTCAATTAGTAAATTCTTAAACTTATATTGATCCTGGTACAGGAAAGCAGCTTACTTTTTGAATCAGGAAGGGTAGACGAGTAGGAATCTGTAAATGTATCGCATTAATTGCACCATCTAATTCTGTGTCCTCATGACATCAGTTTTTTTTTAAATTGATTTGATAGCCTACTTACTTTTATGGGTTTTTATTTTTCTAATACAGCTAATATTTCTGGTAAGGGTAGGTACTTGACTATACTCATTTATTCCACTTTATACGCTCCTGATGCTTTTTTGGGAAGGGGTTTTGTGTCGAACTTACATAAATGCTTGGTGAATGGTCAACTCCTTACTTCTATACAAGGTGTTCCTAAATATGAAGTAAATACGGAAAGGGCTAAATGACTGAAAGTTATAAACATAGGTCCGCAAACGCTTCGTTATCGATCTACAGGATGCTAAAATTTCAAGATTTTTAAACTTTTTTCTTTGTTTCTTGCAGTTTTAGAGATATTTTGCTCAAACTTGAAAGTTAGAACGGCTTACATCATTGGTCATGTCAATGGTAGTGAGAATCTACGGGTTTTTTTTCAGGGGTCATGTTCCATTTTCTACTCCCAAACTTTATTTCGGTGCGCCATTGGTAGCTTGTAAAATAATAACTTCTTTAGAAACTTTTTGATCTCTTGCAATTTTTTGCGACTGTTATCGAGAAAAAATAAAAATCAATTTTTGGTAGTTAGCTAAATGAAAGTAAGGTTTTTAAAATGGTCCAGTAGGCTCTGCTTTTATTGATTTTATTAGTCTTGACATTTGACATTTGGAACTGTATCTTGTGTTTGCATATGTTTATACATTGTAAAGTGTACTGTAAAGATTTTACACCCTGTAGATAGGCAACGAAGCGTTTGCGGACCTATCATGAACTTTTAGTCATAAAATAAGTCAAAAAATTAGCCCCTTCTGTATTTATATAATATTTAGGAACACACAGTATATCTCTAATAAAATTTGTGGCAGTCTTCTACCTTTATGGTCCTTATAGACCTTTAAGTCTGAAACAAAAACACGATACGCTTTGTATACATCAATCGTGCTACGTCGACTTCGACCGTGTTTCGCAGAAACCGAAGACTGGGGGATTTTCATAACGAAGCTAGGGGAAAGTTAGCGTGGGTTAGGAGGAAGGAATGGCGTCAATGGAGGACATCACGCGTTCCCTCATTGATTATTTTGTTTGTTATGTTTTGAAAGTATATTTACAGGTAGTAACCATTTTATTCTCGGCCCTCTAATTAACATTTCCTCTATTTAAAATATGTTTTCCTTGTGCGGCAATCGACTGTCACGTGAATACTTGCTATTGACATTCTCACATGTACTTCGCGTGCTAAATTAATTTTAACTGGGGCTGGAGTAGAGCCATGCCTATTGATGTTTTCTATGTACATGCAATTTATCATTTTTCGAGTTGTTTTTATCTCAATTGATCGTACATATATTTTAATGTGTTTTTGCACTAAATTTATTTAATCATGTTTGCCACTTGCATTTACGATGTCTCCTGTGTTTTGTTTTTATTAATTTTTTAACTGCATTTGATCCGATTACCGCATTTTTATCGTACAATTTGAGATGTTTTACTTGTGTATTTTGTTGTAGTTGATTTATTTCGTGTATTTGTATGTGCCATGCCAGGTTTTTTATTGCCGGTACTGCGCGCATCCTGACAGCACACGGCATGCAATTTTTCTAAATATTATTTATACAGGGTGTCTTAAATTGAGTAGGATAACATGACTATCTTTATTATTATTATACCTACAGATTTGCTTAAATTAGCAAGGTTACGTAGTTTTTGATGCTAATGGATATTCTGATGCGATAATTTGAAAAAATAAATCGTTTCGTAGATAATTGGAAAAAAGGAAAAATCGTTATTTTTAAAAAGTTCAGAGAGCTATCAAAAAGAGTTTCAAATAAAAGTTGCAAAATTCGATGGGATCAATTCAATGGGTGTGGAAAAAAAACGTCAGAATGGCGGTTTTAGAGATATTGACAACAACTTCCTTATTTTAAATGGACGCCATATTGGATTTTTACGTCACTCGATAGAGAAAAAAATTACAAAACCAGTGCAAACACTTCGTATTTGGGAATCAACCTACTTGCATTTTCGACTCGAAGTTTGCAATGTATTTCTCACGGCAATAAACTTTTTTTGATAGCTCTCTTTGTTACTAAAATATTTGAACTTTTTAAAATTGAAGAAATTCACTTTTTGCCAATTATTTACGAAACGAATTATTTTTTTCAAAATATTGGGAATATCCATCAACATAAAAAACTACACAACTTTGCCAATTTAACCGAATCTGCAAGTACAATAACAACAAAGATAGCCATGTTATCCTACTCAATTAAAGACACGCTGTTTATCAATGTCTCCATTTTTAACTTATTTTCCAACTTATGTTGAAAGTGCTATTATGGCCACTTTCTCCGTCCATCCGAACGGATTTGGAATATGAAAATAAGAATTTAGGTAGCAGCATAAGCGTCAGGAACTCTATATTAATCATAGAGATCTTAAAAATCGTATGTATCTTAATCGCCTAACATGGCTAAAATTTCGTAATGCTAAGAATCGCGAAAGACATAGGAACTGACTTGTTGAGTATCCATTCTCTCAGGGAAGGTCGAAATGTGGTAAATGATAATCCGGAACAAAGATCACAAAACCTTCCCCAGAAATTTCATTATTATAATTATAATAAAAATAATTAATGAAATTTATGGGGAAGGCTTTGTGATCTTTGTTCCGGATCATAGGAACTGTACACATTCTAGAAATCCTAAGAATTTTAAAAGTTACAATCTAAGAAATCCCGGGGCATTCTAATAATTTGAGAATTTTGGAAATTTTAGGTTTTTTCTTTAAGTACTATTCATTGGAATCTTATACATCTCAAGATTTTATGAATAACTCAAGAATCTTAGGGCTAGTAGGGTGGTAATAAGGAAATCTTAAGACTCTTTTCTTTTGAATCGTTAGAATCTTAGGACTTTGGATATTAACAATGTTACCGATTAGGTAGCAAATTTAGCAGGTAGTCGATAATCAAATAATTGATCAATCTATTATTTATCAGGTCGATCGACTTACCCATACAAACATTGACGTCAGTTGCGGAAATTTGGCAAATTAGTATTTCAAGGTTAACCACCTAAAGCAGCGATGGGTTGGGTAAAAAACCTGCCAGTATATGCGATGAACTTTAATCTAATAACTTGAATTATAAAATTACCATAAAACAATGAGTAGGTACACTACATTGTACCAAGCACGCCATAAAATTTTAATGCCTTTTTCCTGTTTCACTTATTTATTGTTATAATATAAACAAATACCGAAATCATTTACCTATGTCGAAACAACCTTCTTAAGAAATATTGTTCATCGATTTATTAATCACTTTTGGTGTTCCACAAGGTTGCACACACTCTTACGACCTTTTCTTCAAGTACCTATCTTTAGGCAAAGTTTGACACATTACTGGCTTCCGGTACCAAAAAAAATAAATCCCCTCCTCAAGTCCCATAGAAAAAAAGAGTTGATTGTCTTTCTTTTCAGTTCGATATGTCAACCTATAACGAAAATATTGCGATGGAGGACGTTGACCATCAGTTCCATTCCTCACTGGAGATCAAGAGAGAACAAGCGATATGGGTTCGCCATGCCTACAAGCAATACGGAACTAAGAAGAATCCCTTCGTGGTCCTGGACGATCTTAACATGACCGTTCCAAAGGGAAGCATGTGAGTTGTTATCCACGCCTACTTTCTGGACTAACTTACATTGCAGTTACGGACTTTTGGGTGCAAGCGGGTGCGGAAAGACGACGTTGCTGGGTTGTATAATTGGAAGGAAGAAGCTAAACTCGGGTGAAATATGGGTTTTGGGTGGAAGACCTGGTTCGCCTGGGAGCGGCGTTCCAGGCGCTCGTGTGGGATACATGCCGCAGGTGAATTAAGCCTTTTCTCGCACCCCCTTTCCAATGTGAGTTTCAGGAGTTGGCACTTTACGGCGAGTTTACCATCCGCGAAACCTTGCACTACTTCGGCGGATTAGTCGGAGTGTGCAACAAGAAAATCGAAGAAAGATTAAGTTTCCTGATAAATCTGCTGATGCTACCACCTGCGGACAAGCAGTTGGGTGTTCTTAGTGGCGGTCAACAGCGGCGGGTATCGCTCGCCTCCGCTTTGATCCACGAACCCGAGCTGCTAATTCTGGACGAGCCCACCGTTGGCGTCGACCCAGTTCTCAGGCAGATTATTTGGGATCACTTAGTAAATATTACCCAAACCGGAAGCACGACCATCATCATCACTACTCACTACATTGATGAAACAAGGCAAGCTCATTTAGTAAGTCTATTCTTTTTCTTTCTATCAGACTTATTCGACGAAATGATCAATAATAATTCATATTGCGTAAGGTTGGTGTTAATTATTACAGAAATTAGGTGAAAGTAATAAAATGTTAATTTCCTGTCTGACTGTACCCGTCCACAAGGTGTCTTTTGGAACTCCTTCGAATCCGATCGAGGCAGCCTTGAGATATTTCCCTCCACCCATGGATTGGCACAGGTACCGCTTGGTAACCTTGCTACTCACAACAACGTAAAATTAATTTAGGTGGACATCCGTAAAATATTGAGGTTACTCTAGCTTTACGTATGACTCAGACATAGAACTTCTTAGGGGAAACCCTGAGAAACTCGAATATAATTGGGAAATACTTTAATTAAGTACCTATACGTCTATAAGCTGTCATTTAAATGTTTTTGAGATAAATCTGAATGACATTCCTATTCAGCAAAATGTTGACCACCTTGTTGTGTGTTAAATCTAATGACCCCGTGGGGTCCCACCCAGGTGCTCTGCCGCTTTTTTAGGTCCGCTTTTGGTTTGTTTGAAATAGGTATGTTAGTTCTCTAGAGAACGAAGTTGCATTTTGTTGAATAACAATAAAAATCTTTTTTTTTCGGAAGATATCATAAAATTAACCTACTATGCCTGCGTAGTCGCATCAACCATGGTGGTGCCAATCTTATTTGGAAAAGTCGTTAAAATTGAAAGTAATTAGCCTTGACCTAATAAAAAAACTCTTAGAATAATTAAAAACACGAAACCTTTTCCAACTTAAGAACGCGGTGTCCTATCTGAAGTCTGCAGGTGGTTAACCATCTAGTCTCTTTGCCCAGTAAAAATGTCAAAATCTAGCAACGTCACAATTGATGTACATCCTACCCAAGAGTAGGGTACCCTTTGATCCTACTAACGCGTCTTAAAATTTGCCTACACTACAAAGCCTAAAACACCCCTACCCCTTAACATCTGTCGCCTCTTACGACACGCAGTAAAAACCCCTACACGGGTTAAAAATCATTCGATAGGTAAAGAAACCCAGAAAATGAATTTGAAGGTGAACACTTTTTCAGTTTATGGTTGTAATAATATTTCTTTGCAGATTGGTTTAATGCGAGGGGGACATTTCCTAGCAGAAGAATCACCGGCGGCCCTTTTGGCACGTTTCGGCACCGATAGCTTGGAGGAAGTGTTTCTGCGATTGAGCGTCAAGCAAAATTTGACGAACCAAAACGGAAATGGGGTCGTTAACGAATCGGCCGATATAGAAGGTATGCCGAACGGTGAAGCGCCGAAGGGCTTCGGAGATACAGTCACTAGTAGATCTAAGGGACAGCACGTTAGGGCGCCGATCGATCTGACGTATGTGGAAAAGTCGACCTTCGACAGGTTGCAATTGCTCCCGTCCATACATTGGAATCATATTACGACGCTGGTGTGGATCAACGGACTGTGGATGTCGCGAAATTTCCCTCTCGTCCTGTTCGTTGTTATGTTACCGCTCGTACAGATGTCGTTGTTCTGTATGGGGATAGGACTCAATCCGAAAGGCTTGACAGTGGCGATTGTCAATTACGAAACGGGGAATAATGTGAACTGCGATTCCACGCTGCAGTGTAATAGCACAACGCTCAGTTGCAGTTACCTTAGCTACTTGGGGAAAAAGGATGTCAAATTCGTAAGTAGCAAGTTCCTGAAGGGCCTTGTGTGTGAAAATTCTCATCCCTCACCAATTAGTCGTTTGAATCTTTGGTTTGTTACAGGTTTACTACGAAAGCGACTACGAGGCGACCAATTCGGTACTCAAAGGCAAAACGTACGCTTCCATAGTAATCAAGTCCAACTACACCACGGCACTGCAAGCACGCATCGCAGAATGGCGCGACGCGGAACCGTGGGATATCACAGCAAGCGAGATCGATGTGCTACGCGACACCACCAGCAAAGACATCGCCACATTCCTCAAGATATACATGTACGAGAGCTTCCGGGATTTCATCGGTGGATATTTGGAATCGTGTGATTACAGTCCGCGCGTGGTTGCGGTACCATTTCAATGGAAAAAGCCGGTGTACGGTTTAAATTATCCCAATTTTACTGATTTCGTTAATCCAGGAATGATCCTGACGTGAGTGTTTAATTTTTTTGGCCACGACGGCAACACACGTCTTAATTGTAGGACCATCTTCTTTTTGTCCGTTGCGTTGACAGCCGGTGCGATGTTAATTCAAAGAAATCAGGGCAGTATCGAAAGAGCTATGGTGAGCGGGGTAACTCCCATAGAGCTCTTAATTACTCACATCATTACTCAGTTCGTGCTGATGATGGTACAGCTGACAATCGTTCTGGTGTGGTCCTTTGTGATATTTGAACTTACTCTGAATGGATCCGTACTTTTAGTTACTTTACTCTCCATTCTGACTGGCTTTTGTGGGATGTGTTTCGGTAAGTTCAGTGTTGGTCGTGCCCAAAGGTACCAAGGTTAAAATTTCAGGATTCGCAATATCGTGTGGAGTTGATTCCGAACGGATGGCCACGTATACTGCACTGGGTAGCCTTTTCCCTTTGGTGATGTTATCTGGAATTGTGTGGCCAATTGAAGGCATGCACTATCTTTTGCAATTATGTTCAATTTTTTTGCCACTAACAAAAGCAACCGAAAGTTTGCGAAGCATTTTGCAGCGAGGTTGGGGAATAACGTCGCCAGTTGTGTACATGGGATTTATATCTATTACAGTTTGGTCCTTAATATTCCTATTATTTAGTATAGTGTTATTAAAAGTGAAAAAGGGTTAGCTTTATTAAATTATTTTTACATTCGTTTGGTTTATTTTTTTCATACTTCCCCCTTCCATAAAATTTGGGATAGCAGCTGTCCGAAAACTTCAACATACATTCAGTAAGTACATGAATCAGCATGAAAGTATATTAGAGGGACACATTTGTTAATAAATATTTCCTATTCGTCACCACCATTGAACACAGAGAAATATATAATAGGAATTATCTTCTTAAGAATCAGTGACACAGGCACTCGGGGAGTACTGCCAAACAATACTGCTCTTAACCAAGTATGGTCAATTTTAATTATTGGATGCGATTTTGGAAAAAAACAAAGGATAGTAGGGATCATTCCGGGATATTTTGGAGAGGTATTCCGTCTTGGGTTATGAGATCCGTTTAACAAGTGGTCCAAGATATTATTTCTCGAGCACAACACGAGCAATTAATTGGTATCTCTGAGTAAATTCGTTCTCGGCGAGATTCGGGCATCAAAAAACCAAATGGTTATTGCGGGTATTTTTATCGGAACGGAAATCAAAACGGAAAAAGGAATTATCGCGTCTTTCGAAAGAAAAGAAAACTATCAATAGTTATAGTATTACCGTCGCGTAATTTATGATCCTACATGGCGAACGGCCATCAAATGTGTGACCCTGTTGTGGCAGTAAGTGTGACACAACCTCTAGCTATATTTCAATCCGTTTGTATTGCATATATTTTTACCATTTATGAATTAGAATTGGTTTTGATAGAAAAATTCAGTTTCTCATTTAAAGTTAGTTTGTTGCATAGGAAACCTTCAACAAATCCAAGGTTCAACTAGTGCACCCCAAGCAGGGAGCCTCACTAGCCGTCACAACCGACGCATCAGATTTCGTCACTTATTTCCGAAACGAAGGTGGCGATTTCAATCAATCAGATCAGCTAGGTCATAAACGGAAATAAAACAAAAGGGAATATTGCTAGCACAAAATCAAAGTTGTCCAGGATTAGATCATTGAGTGCACCTAAACCAAAGTTAATAACAAATTTTAGAGTCAAACCGGAATTCTTTACATTTGGTAATTTCTTCTCTGTCATGCTTAATCTGATTAAACTGCATAACGGGTGGTCGCTTTAGAATTTAAAAAACTATTTTTTAAAGTTGTATTTTGTCCAGCTTCATCAAATTTACACATGTACCGCTTCTTAGCGAACATGAACGAAAATATGTCTAGCTGTAACAAGCCATATAAAGAAACGTATTACGGGAAGCGAGCGCGGTTACCGCGATGTGAACAGTGAAAACCCAAGCACGTGGCGGAAATGCGGGTTTCCCGTTGGTTTACAAAGGTACTACGCGAGATTGTTTCGTTCAGAACATAGGTCCCGTTTCAGATGTTCTAACGGGCGAGAGAAGTGGGAGAGCGGAGAGCTGACTTTTTCGAGTGAGCAACGTGCACGGTTTGTACGTGAAGGTTTTCTATCGTTGAAGTTGATTTTCGCGAACCACTGTGTATCATTTTAAGTGCGCTGAAATTGAATTTTTAGCGAAGCTATAAAAGCAGGCGCGTAACATTTTGTGTTTATTTCGCTTATGTCTGAAAGTTTGCGGTCGAAATTCCAGAACCAAAACGTGCAATTATTGAGTGAAATTTATACGAATAGTACTGAAGAATTCGTATGGAACGAGTTAACGAATTTAACAAGTCTCTCAGAGTTGGGTAACGCATTTGGGCAGCACCTTGTGCGATAAATCAAATTTGTATACAACGGCATGCAGCAGGAAATTCATCGGTGCATTACCTAGCACAAAATGAGTAGGTATCAACACAATGCAAAATTTGAAATTGTGTTTCTGTGCATAAGTAACAACGACCTCGAGTATCATTTTCTCCAATGTTAAGCTAGTTTGTTCCGATTCATAATAGGTTTGGACATTTTTGTTTTGCATTCGTTACCGAGTCAGCCATACCAGAGGAGCGATCTGTTGCCATATTTTTAAAGGGAGTATCACAAAGACAAAACCAAGTGTAACCTGAAAGGAATCTGATCCACGCCAATTACCTACTGTAGGTTATTTTAAATTTTTGATTTGTATAAGGTAGCGGTCGATTCTTTTATTCGCGTAATAAATTTATTTGAAGCAATTTTAATATTCCTAAACGAATCGACCTAGAAGAACCAATGAAATGAACAGACTTTGTACTGTACTTATTGATAGTAATCGAATCCAAAGAAAGTATTTTGGTTATTTTGAATAGAGTTTTATAGAGAATTCATTCCCCAGACCGAAAAAATGTAAGTAAATTCACCTGGATGAGCACTTTGTATTGGGATCCATAACCTGGCAGTTCGGGGTTTTGTTACGGGTTACGAGTTAAATTAATAAATAAGTATGCGTCGTTTTAATGAATTTAATTTGGGAGATACGTTAAAAATGTCACCATAAAGATTGCAATTGATTCTTCCTTGTAGTGGTAACAGTGTGATGTGTCACAAAAAATATTGATTTTGTTCCCGTTTTGGGTAGATAAGAGATATTGATTCCCTAACGTAACATGTTGATCAATTAACCGCAAGCAATTTCTGCTTCAGGTCAAGAAGCAGAAACCTTTTGGCGCGGTCAGGAGACCCAACTTTAAACTTACTTGTGCAGGACTAAGACTTATAGATGATATGGTTTTTAATTTACGTATTATTACCAATATTATACGGCACAGTTCAGTAAAAAAAACAGGAAATGCGGCCTTCAAGATCATTGGCCTATACGATGGTGCCAAGGTTTACAGTGCGTCGCTGCAAATTGCGCTTATTATTTAAAACAAGTCTGCCATTGCAAACCACTTTGACTAAGTTGGAAAAAATGGTCAGGGCGAATCGGATCTGAGGTGTCTCGATGATGGAATGCTAAGGGCCTCAAGTTTCACTTTTCGAATCTCTGCTGGAGGATGAAGCCTAAATCAGCGTAGGTAAACTGAAAGTGCCTTGAAGCTGAGGTCTAGGTCTCTACGTTATCCCCTCTAGTACAAAATAATCAGGTAAGTGCATTACAAAATTTATTATTTTAAAATGTTAGTTGATCAATGGCCGTTGAACAATAAACGTGCGTTTCGCTTTCGTTTTCAACAATTAACTGTGCGTGCTAACAGAAGTATGAAACCCACCGAATTCGCTGGAGGACCAAGTAATTAGGTAAAGAATTTCAATTAATTTGGTGCACTCATGAACCGTTTTGGGGTGCAGTCATTCAAAAATACGTCCGTGCGGAAGTTTGCCCAAATGCTTTGCAAACATCCTGCAGTGATGTTTATATTTAAAATTTACGCAATGATTCAATTAATAAACATAAATTATGAAATTTATATCAAAACAATACACCTACACGTAACATTCGTGCCATCGCAAGTAGGTCATCAAAGATTTTCCAGTGTAAGAAAATTTTTGAATTTTTGGCATTTTTTTTTCGGATTTGGCCAACCTGAGACAGATAGCTAAACTGTGCCGATCTCTATTTCTTCCTGTAATTGTAATTTAGATTATGTGCGTGGACTTACGATAAACGTTTTCCTCTTAATTTAATTCCATATAATTAAGCATTTGCGTGTTTAAACGTAATTGCTATGGTGATGGGGATTCGATGATTTCTTTGTCACCTTGCTCGGTGCGAGAGATGGGCTTGATTTTGGAAACAAAGAGGACCGTTTCAATAAAGGTACCTACATGGTTTTTTTTTAATAAAAAAAAACCCTGCTAGTATCTCCCCCATGCCTCCTTTTATTTCACAGCAATTTTACAGGTAGGTACCAACCAGTAGCATCGTAAAGCAATTTACCTTTGCACAAAATTTATCAATTAAGTCAATCAATTAAACATCTTTTTCAATTTCTATGCTCCTGCTACAATCTATAGATACGTTAGAAAAGGTTGATACTTATTTACCTGCACTTCTATGGTCCTAATACCACCAAAATCCTTTTGGATACAATTTTGGTGTCAGGGTTGGTTTTCGTCGTACGAAAAGACAGGGGAAGATCAGCATCTAAAACAATAAATTTTGGTTCGGATATTCGTGTCAAGAGAACATAACGCTGAAAGGGAAAGTAGTCGATCAAATTTTCATTTAGTAAGTTCTTAAACCTAGTAAATGTGCTCCTGGTACAGGAAACTAGCTTTAGAGAGAGTAGGGATGTGTAAATTTATTGCATTACTTGCACCGTGCTTGCACCCATGCACCATATTATAATTCTGTGCTCCTAATGACATTATTTGATTTTTAATTTAATTTTTTAATGACACTAGGCGGATTGATAGAATGATATCGTACTTACTTTTATGGGTTTGTATTTCACTAATACAATCGACATTTTTGGGAAAGATACGTACTTGACTCTATTCATCTATTCCATTTATACGCTTCTGATAAAGTTGCTTTGACTTACTTCACGAGCAAAAGTCCTCAAACGTGTCGTTACCGATTTACAGTGTGTTCACATTTTTTTCTGGATATCTCGTACAGTTTTAGACATATTTTGCTCGAATTTGAAATATAAGTTACGCTGAACGGCTTACATCATTAGTCATGTCAATGATATTGAGAATCTACGGAGTGTTGTTTTTTAATAATAATAATAATATTGCCTTTATTATTAAAAAAAAAAACAAGAATTTATTCCAGTACATTAAAATTAAGGGCGAAGTTCAGTACTGCGGCAATGCCACAGTCTGCTCTTCCACTTAAACCTTTTTTCATGTTCCATTTTCTACCACTGAACTTTTTTTCGGTGCGCCACTGGTAGATTGTAAAATCATGATTTGTCGGGAAAAAAATTAAAAATCAATTATTGGTAGTAAAATTTTTAAAGTGGTCCAGTAGGCCCTGGATTTATTAGGATAATCCCTTGTTTTTATTAGTCTTGACGTTTGGAATTGTTATCTTGTGTTTATATACAGAGTGGCCACTGAAAAAAATCAATTCCAACTTTGCCCACTTAACGACAGTTTTGCCAGAAACTGCAAACGTTGACGTCAATTTTAGTTTTGAGAGGGGACACCTAAATTAAGTAATACTACTTACATAACCTTAACCCTAAGAAGTCAGTGAATCGCACCACAAAAATTTTAAATGAGAAGGGGTAGTAAATGTTAGATTTGTTAATGTGATTGAAACCATTCAAAACGTCAAACGTGATTTTAAATAATTCAATTCATCGTGAATGAGGAAGAAGTTCCAGAAACTATTCGAAATAAGGCCAATCTTGTGATTTAGTAGGTATTGACAATCAATAATTGACGTTTCTAATTTTCAATGACCTGCAAGTATTTGTTTGTTTTGTCATTAAGTAAGTATAAATTAGTTACTATGGTGATACTTAATGCCCTAGGGCATAAAGTGGTACTTTATGGCCGCGTATCACAGATATAAAATGTGCTATGATATGTTAGAAAGACGGAAAACATTTGCACGACCTCGGGCGGAAAAACAAAGAACTATTGTAATAAGAAAAATCTATTACAGCGACTTTATAGAGACAGTGGCGGCAATAGGAGCCCAGCCGCCATGTTGCATCGAAAATCTAAATTAAAAAGTAGACAAAACATACGATACACGTATGACATGTGAGAAGTACACCCTAATCGATCTAATTTTGGGCATTTCAACACATTCCAATGCAATTCTAAACACACGATGAACTCTCTGTGATGTATCAGGAACGTCATACTTAACGTGCAGGTTATCTGCCATAAAACGTTATTTTGCTCATAATAAAAACCGCATCTACAGATAACCTGCACGGTAAGTTTAATGTTAGTGATACATCATGAATAACCATACATAATTACACATGTAGCAAAAACACATTAAATAGTAAGTAAGCTGTGGTAGAAACTCGATACAACATGTCCGCTGATCTCAAGCAACAATCAAAAATTAGACACTCTATTGTCACCACTGTGTCTATAAAGTCACTGTAAAATCTATAACACTCGAAGGGCCTCTAGTGGCAAAACAAAGAACTAGGGTAATAACAAATTTACTACAAGACTGACATACGTTTAAACTAGTGGACAAAGGAATACCTAGATGGAGAAGGATTATTTAAATCGGGGGGAATTTCAAAATTCCTCAATGTTAAAAATCTTGAAAGTCATAGGAACTGTATACATCCTAAACATCCGAGAAATTTTAAAACTTACAAGCACTTTCGGGGTAGTTCGAAATTTTAGGTAATCTGATGAAAAGCTTAAGAACATTACTATTCATGAACCCAAGTGACTCAAGAATCTTAGGGCTAGTATACTTTGGCAATATTAGGAATTTTATTTAAATCGTTAGAATATTACTTACACGGTTTAGGAATCAAATTAGCAGGTAGTTGAAAAACAAAATTGATTCGGTATGTGCCAATTCTATATCAACGAACTCTGTTAAAGTCAACTGTCAACTAACTCCCTTGAAATGACAAGGATCGGTTCAACTGTTTTCGATCCTAACTAGGATTAATTCCTTCTGGAAACTTTGAAAACAGAATTGGTGGTTTTTCTTTTTGACGTTAACCATTATGTTTTCGTAATTCTTGCGAGCTCTAATTGTTGTTCTTCGTTTCATGTTTGAACCAAATTAGCACGTCAGGTGCGGAAGTTTGACAAATTATAGTATTTCAAGGTTAACCACCTAAAGCAACGATGGGTTGAGAAAAAAACCTGCCAGTATATGTGATGAACTTTACGCAAGAGATTTAATCTAATAACTTGAATTATGAAATTACCATTAAACAATAAGAGTACCTACATTGTACCACTACAAGTAGGCCATAAAACTTTAATGCGCTTTTCCTGTTTCACTTTATTTATTGTTATAATAAACAAATACTGAAATCCTTTACTATGTCGAAACCACCTTCTTAAGAAATGTTGTTCATCGATTTACTAATCACCTTTGGTGTTCCACAAGGATTCACATACTCTTACGACATTTTCTTCAAGTACTTATCTTTAGGCAAAGTTTGACACATTAGGTACTGGCTTCCGGTACCAAAAAAAATAAATCCCCTCCTCAAGTCCCATAGAAAAAAAGAGTTGACTGTCTTTCTTTTCAGTTCGATATGTCAACCTATAACGAAAATATTGCGATGGAGGACGTTGACCATCAGTTCCATTCCTCACTGGAGATCAAGAGAGAACAAGCGATATGGGTTCGCCATGCCTACAAGCAATACGGAACTAAGAAGAATCCCTTCGTGGTCCTGGACGACCTTAACATGACCGTTCCAAAGGGAAGCATGTGAGTTGTTATCCACGCCGACTTGCTGGACTAACTTTAAATTGCAGTTACGGACTTTTGGGCGCAAGCGGGTGCGGAAAGACGACGCTGCTGGGTTGTATAATTGGAAGGAAGAAGCTAAACTCGGGTGAAATATGGGTTTTGGGTGGAAGACCGGGTTCGCCTGGGAGCGGCGTCCCAGGCGCGCGCGTGGGATACATGCCGCAGGTGAATTAAGCCTTTTCTCGCACCCCCTTTCCAATGTGAATTTCAGGAGTTGGCACTTTACGGCGAGTTTACCATCCGCGAAACCTTGCACTACTTTGGAGGATTAGTCGGAATGCGCAACAGGGAAATCGAAGAAAGATTAAGCTTCCTGTTAAGCCTGCTGATGCTACCACCTGCGGACAAGCCGGTGGGCGATCTTAGCGGCGGCCAACAGCGGCGGGTATCGCTCGCCTCCGCTTTGATCCACGAGCCCGAGCTGCTAATTCTGGACGAGCCCACCGTTGGCGTCGATCCAGTTCTCAGGCAGATTATTTGGGATCACCTGGTAAACATTACCCAAACCGGAAGCACGACCGTCATCATCACTACTCACTACATTGATGAAACAAGGCAAGCTCATTTAGTAAGTCTATTCTTTCTATCCTACTTATTCCACGAAATTATCTAATAATTCATATTGCGTAAGATTTTAATTAATTATTACAGAAATTAGGTGAAAGTGATAAAATGTTAATTTCCCGTCTGACTACCCGTCCACAAAGTGATGCGTAATTAATTGTTAACGCTTTTCTTTTTTGGAACTCCTTCGAGATCGAGACAGCCATGAGATACTTCGCCTCATCCATGAATTGGCACAGGTACCGCTTGGTAACCTTCGTACTCAAAACAGCGTAAAATTAATTAGGGTGGACATCCGTAAAATATTGAGGTTACTATAGCTTTACCTGCGTATGACTCAGACAAAGAACCTCTTAGGAGAAACCCCGAGTAACTCGAATAATTGGGAAATACTTTAATTAAGTACCTGCGTCTATAGCCTGTCATTTAAATGTTGTTGACATAAATCCGAATGACATTGGTATTCATCAAAAGGTTGACCACTTTGTCATTCAACTTTGTAGAAATTTTCAGTAATTTCACGGAATACCCCCAAATTGTTTACCTAAGGTGACAAATCTATTGTTTGTGATATCTTGATTAAGCACTGGGGTCACAAATTTCCATGGTTGCTGCATCTCCTTGAGTGTGTTAATACGTTCAATGTATGTCCATTTGACAAAAGCAAATTATACGTACATTAGACGTATAAATCTGGTACCGATTTCGCCCATAAGTGGCACCATTTCTCAACAAGTCCGATGTAATTAATACCTCCATCCACTATTGGAAATTATTGCGACATACATTCATACTGTACAAATCCATAGATGTGTCTTCAAGGTACTTATCAATGGAACCTTGTAAAACATTTATATTTTGGAAAACCCGTGAGCATTATAAAATACGTTCAAGCCACATTATGACATTACAGATATAGTCCTTAAACGCTTTTCGTGTTTTTTGATTAAAACAAAAACGTAAACTGCAAGTTATTATATTGAGTAGGTACAATGCACCTAATCTTTATTCTTTATCTATGTTTGTGACTGTAACTCCTAAACGGCTAGAAGGATTTTGTGAAATTTTTTTTATGTGGCGGATATGGTTTTAGTAGGGGAGCTAGCACGAAATCCACTGAACGAGAATGATCAAAATTTTAACCGATGGAGTTCCATTTTGCCCTATCAGAGTATGCTAAAATCGATCGTCTGCCGCCTCAGGTCATATGACTTAAGGCGCTGCGGGTACTTCTTGCGGTACCAATTCTGAAAGGTTGTTTTTCGAGAAAATAAGTTATACACCAAATGAAAACGTTGATAATAGCTCTTAAAAAAATATTTAAAAAAATCGCACACATTTGATAACTCCGTAAAAAAACAATTCTTAGTCGGTTTTTCACGAACTTTCAACGGATATAACTAGGTTACCGTTGGATGAATGAAGCTGATTTTTAGCGCATTTTTGCAAAAAATTTTTTTTGTAAAAAGTAGCTTTTAATCTCACTTTGGCTGGCTGGCTGGCTGGCTGGCTGGCTGGCAGCAAATGTGGGCGCGTAGAAGAACTCTTGTAGAAAGGCAACGGGTGTACGTGTATCTACAGGGCCGTGAAATTTGTCAACCTTAGGGACATGGCTACATGATGTGGGGTTGGCGACATCTGGGCGTCATCCTCGAGCGTAGTATACTAACGTGAAGGTTTTTCAGTTTTTTCCTATCTTCTACTACAGTTTTGGTCCGATTCTTTTGAAATTGGTGTCGTCGGAAAGATGTTGTAAACGCGCACAACTCCTGCGTGGCGGAATTTTGTTTTTTGTCATAGGGGCGAAATTAACGACCTTTTGCGAGGCGGCGCGCGCGTCTTCGAGAAGTAGTCAGGCGCCTTTTACCTTCCGTTGCGAACTCACGCGGTTTAACGTTTCGTGAATCTCGAATCGCTGTCTCTCTTTCTCGTGTCGCCAATAGAAGTGAATTGCGAGTGAACGGGACGTCGGAAGTGGGTACCGTAAAAGAGAATGTGGTAGCCCGCGACACGATCTCACTGATGGTGGAGTCAAATCTTCAATCGCGAATTGCGGGTGAACGGGACGTCGGAAGGGGGTACCGTCAAAGGAAATGTGGTAGCCCGCGACACGATCTCACTGATGGTGGAGTCAAATCTTCAAACGCGAATTGCGGGTGAACGGGACGTCGGAAGGGGGAACCGTCAAAGGGAATGTGGTAGCCCCCGACACGATCTTCCTGATGGTGGAGTCAAATCTTCAAACGCGAATTGCGGGTGAACGGGACGTCGGAAGTGGGTACCGTAAAAGGGAATGTGGTAGCCCGCGACACGATCTCACTGATGGTGGTGTTAAATCTTCAATCGCGAATTGCGGGCGAACGGGACGTCGGAAGGGGGTACCGTCAACGGAAATGTGGTACCCCCGACACGATCTTCCTGATGGTGGAGTCAAATCTTCAAACGCGAATTGCGGGTGAACCGAACGTCGGAAGTGGGTACCGTCAAAGGGAATGTGGTAGCCCCGACACGATCTTCCTGATGGTGGAGTCAAATCTTTAAAAGCGAATTGCGGGTGCACGAGGAAAGTGGGAAGCGGTTAGTGAATGTAGTAGCCTTCGACAAGATCTGTTATTGATGGTTGAATCGAAAGTGGCTAATAGAATACTGATCTGCCACACAAAAATGCGCTGAAGTCCCTTCGATCTCAAACGAGGACTTTGATAATTTTTGGAAATGCCACTGAAGTAATTTTGCTTGTAAAATGCATCCAAGAATATGTGCACCGGACCTTTGAAAACAAATGGGTGACCTAAATGTAAATCCTATCGTAGGGCTGTAGGTATTACACAAAACCCTTTTGGTAGTAGGTATGAGGCAGGATTGAAAAAAAATAAGGCGCCGCCTCCAACCCATCTGCTTCTCATCCAGGCCCCTAGAAATTTAAATGACCACATCGTTGGTAAGTCGCCTTGGGTAACTAAGATTTCTGCGGTTAGTGACTGATTAGTATCCGCCCATCAATTTAAAACAACAAGCAAGTCATATTAGGTACCTATATATACCTCCAGGTCGTTATTCAGTTCCAAATGGTTTGGTCAAAGTGGCCTTCATTGTTTGAATTAGTAGTCGGCTTGCAAATGAGCAAAATCTTCGTCAAGATGGCGTGTTTGTATATAGATATGGTACGGTCTATGTTGTGCTTTATCAGATCTATGTCAGAAAACGTGATTGAAGTTTCAGCCAGGCTTCTCTAATCTCTTCATGACGGAAAATTACTGCAACTTTAGATTGGAGCAGCGATGCATTTTCCCATCACCAGCAAAAGGGGTGAAAATTCATAATTGCTTAGATTAAACGTTATGTCTATCGTCTCGAGATGCTATCAATAACAAAGACATAGTGTGAGGTCTGTTTTCATAGACAATTTTATGTTTTAAGTATTTAAATACAACTTTACCTTCGTTGTTGAGTCTTTACCAGTTTATGTGGGATATTTCTTCATTTCAGTCTCATTGGAAATTCTGTTCAGTTCGGGCTTTACAAGAAAGAAACGGTTTTTGGCATTATCATTTTGTGTAACCTATACCAGTCCTCCTTGCACTCTCAATTTATACATTATTAAAATATGTTACATATCATTTGTAAAAATGTGTAACTTATAGCTAGAATGCCCCCTTAATATGTATCTCCATAAGGTATGTATTTTACAACTTTAAACACTAAAAATCTGTAATTGATGTTATAGCCAGAAGATAACCTGTGGTCGAAACTATTTAGTCTTTTACGTCCTTTTTAAAACTAAAGTAGTATGGGGAAGGTTTTGTGTTTTAATTTCTGAATCAATAACAAATGTTCTTTATATCCCTCACCTTGCGAAAGTTTGCCCTCTTATCTCCTCAAAAACTAAAATTGAAAATCTAATGCTCAGGTTTGATTGAATTTTAATAAATACGCTTATGACTTTAGTTGATTAAATATTAAAAGAAAACGCAATCAATTTCGATTTTTCTTAACGCGTTCTCGGATACAAAATATTGGTTTGATTCAAAAAAGAAATACAAAAATGCAATGCCTAATTTGTGATCGCATGTCGATGATTGTTACCTAAAATTTATCTTTACAATACACAATTTTTTTCATTCCAAGTATTCTCATAGGCCGATCCATTTAGGAATATTTAAGATACTTGGAACAAAATTTCTTGTGCAAATTCCTAAAAATCACTGTCATTATATTAAAATTTTACAATAACTCACAGTTATTGACGTGGGTGACGTTAACAAATGTTGCCTCTTTTAGAAACATGGAAACATATCGCTCCAATGGTTCATGTTGACTTCTTTGCACCACTATGGTAACATTATCTTCGTGATTAATGCAAGGCTTTGTGGAAGGAAAGTTTGTGGAATCGTGAATCCAATCAAACCGGAGACAATTTCGTGAAATGAATACTGAAGATGGTAATTATGCACAGGAATAAATACGCCAATGTTCCGCTGTGTTCATATTAGTTTTCTTGCGGACAAATGCATCAATTAATTGCTTGCCGTTGTATACTCGTCACCAGTTTAGAAATTTTCACTCAAAAATAAAACTGCTAACAGTTTATCGATAAATTTTTACAAACGACAGTTTTAGTGCGCCTAGGATGGTACGTAACCGCTCGCGAACTTAATTGTGAAATGATCGCAACTATGCGAAAAGAAATTTTTAACAAACGTACTAGCTCTTTCATAGTCTAAACTCGTCTGCGGAAAACTGCCTTTACAACTCGGCACTTCGCTTATCTCGAAACGCACACCTAGGTATTAAAAACGCCCACGTTGTTATCGCCTTTTATTTCGTAACATAATTTTGTTCACGTTCGCTAAGGAGCGGTATACAGAGTGTCAATGTTAAAACTTGCAGTCGGCCATATTTTCCAAATTAAAGAAGATATTGAAAATCGCGCAAAACCGTTTCGGGGGTATCGAGGGGGAACCAGAATGAGGTTATGAGTGACAACCTCCCACCTCCCATTAACCCCCCAGCCTACTCTCTTCAAAAACCCTAAATGGCAACCCCATA